AATGTAATTATGCCTTATTTGAATTAAATAATTCAAATTAATTAATTTGAACTCCACAACCACCCCATAAACTGTCACTGACATCGTCATCATTGTCATAGCCATCATCCTCATCATCATCCCTGTTTTATATGCAGCGGGGAAATCCTAGGATGGTCTCTAAGTGAACAACCTGGCAGGCTATCCCAGAGGTCCTGGAGCTGAAAGGCTCATAAATCCAATTAAGATGCTCAAATAATCATTAAATCAATTACATTCATTAAACTCATTAAATCAATGTAAAACATATATTGAGAAGCAAGAGGAAAGAGATTGGGTAGCTTAAGATGTGGAGTATAAGCAGGTGGAAGGACCGTGCTGTCCTGGGTGTTCAAAGCTCCTGTGTCCTCTCTCTTTGCGTTATTTTCCCTCCTCACAGATGGTGTTGTTACAAGGAAGAGAGTGGAGGGCAGGCAGGAAGTCTCAGAGATGGAAGCTCTGTGGTGCTAATACACGCTTACTCGATTGGAGAGAGGAAGAGGAAAGCACACAAGACCGTAGACCTAATCTGGAGCAGTGGTGTATGTTTGAAGCACAAGACAGGTGGGCCACAATGGCTGGTACCAATGGGTGGTCAACTTGATGTAAACAAACCTGATCCATGCTTTATGAATATTAAAGGTTTATTTTGCTTTCCATCTTTTTCGATCTACAAGTAACACTCTCATTTGTTTTTCATTCTTTTAATCTATGTTTGACATATCCTTTTAATCTATGTTTAACATGTAAATGTCTATTTATTGTATGTTTAATGTGTTGTACACATTAAATGTGTACTTACTACCTATACTTAACATTTCTTACAAGTTTTATCTATCCCATTAGTTTTTCTTGTCCTTTAAACTAGAATCAGAAAGTTCTGAGAGTATAGCCAACACACATGACATGACTGATAAAGCACATATGTGAGCCCCTTGACCAAGGTCCCCACATTTTGTGCATGGCAGAGTCAAGGTGAGAAAACTTAATAAGAAGCTAGAAAAATTCTTCGACAAGTGGAATGAGGGAAATGAAGATAAAATAGTTAAACAGCTGAGCAATTAACAGCAAGCTAATAAATCACAAGACTCGATCATTCCCAACCAAAGATGCTTAGGAGCAGATGGTTTATGCTCCTCCCAGCAGAGAGCGAGGAGCTTAAACCGCCCTGGTCAGGGAGATGGATAACGGAGACCCAGTTGATGCCACTAATGCCAGCCAAACCTCAGGACGGATAAAGTTTGGGGAATAAACAACAGTAACAACGAAAACCAGTAAGAGCTAGACAAATCCAAGACAAGGTGAAGCTAAACCAGAAAACGATCGCAAACCCCGCTATACTCTCCTTTTAATGCATCAGCATACTGAAGGACACACCTGGGAAGCTGGTGAATATTCTGTTGAGGTGTGAGCACACCAGCCTCTCCCTTTTCTCAGGTGCATAATTTCACTTCCTTTCTCCTGTGCTCCGAGGGCCTTTCTTTGCCTGACTTCTCAGTGAGCAGCCCAGCCCAGGCTCACTCCTGCGGCTGTGATCTACTTCTTCTATCCTAATCTTTCCCTCTGTTTCCCCGTCCCAAGTTTTAATCCACATACTCTCAACATCACCCACTAATGAGGATTTCTTTCTTGCACCAAGAACCCACACGTTCTAAACCCTGCCGGGGCAGACCGCTCTCAGCCCCGGCCTCTTTCCTGTGACAAAGGGGTTCAACTATAGGAAATCTGGTTTCCTGTCCCACTTCTTAATCACAATATTGACTCCCAATTTGCCTGAGAAAACGTGGTAGGTCTTTTCACCAAATACTCTTTATACAGAGCGGGGGAAAAAACTAGGTTTACTGTTGTGAGTACACAAAACATAGTTTATTCTTGTGTTATTATTTATTAATTATTGCTTTATTTTCCATCTGAACAACTGTAAACCTACTTTTGCCCCATCCAGTATATAAATGCCCTTGGGGCAGGAGACCTGTCCTGTGCAAAGGGCCTATGCAAATACTTGTTGACCGAGAGAGTACCTCATTTTATACTTTTGCTTTTCTAATGTGTTAAGTTTAAATGACCTGAATAATTCCAATTTGACACTTAGGAAAATTTAACTTTTGGCATTTAAAGTCACATTATCTTCAGTATTTGAATTTAAACCGAATTAACCTAAAGGTGTATCCAGCTGCTAGAGACCAAAAGATAAGGAAGGATCTGTGGACCGAGATCTAGCTCTGACTGTGAAACTGACCCTTTCAGAGAAATTGCATTCTTTTGCTCACCTTCGTTTTATCCAGGAGGAAAATGGCCCTAGTGATTCTTTTACTCCCTTCACCAGGAACTGTTGCAACTACTATTTTTCCCATCAGTAGCATGATATTTAAAAAATGGTTTCTGCATTATGAATTAGAAAGCATAAAAAACCACACATTCATGATTAAAAATAAAAGGTTTATTACTTTTTTAAAAAGATTTTTCATTTATTTATCTTTAGAGGGGAAGGGAAGGAGAGAGGGAGAGAATATCAATGTATGGTTACCTCTCGTGGGTCCCCTGCTGGGGACTGACCTGCAACCCAGGCATGTGCCCTGATTGGGAATCAAACCGAGATCCTTTGGTTCACAGGCCCATGCTCAATCCACTGAGTTATACCAGCCAGCGCGGTTTATTACTTTTTAAAGGTATAGTTTATGCTACCTTTGGATATAACTAACATTTTGCAATTTGCTAAGTATTCTACAATTTTCTTCATCCATTGACTTTTCTGAAAAGAAAAAAGTAACAACAGTTTGAAAGAAGCTAAGATGAATTATATGCTCCTGACATATTTTGAATTCCTATTTTGTCGTATATTTTAAATATAGTTATTTTAAAGATTATTGTACCTTAGTTACAAAAATCTTGTTTCTCTCTAGGAAGTTGACAGTAACTCAATATATACAACACCATCTAGAACTCAACACAGTGGTGGTTCATTCTTGGTTGCCCATTAGAGTTACCTGGGAGACTTAAAAAAAATAATGATCCACCAGTCCTACCTCAAACCATTCAAGTCAGAATCTCTAGGGAAGGAATTTTAGCATCTGTATTTTTAAAATCTCTTCAGACAGTCTACCCAATACTTTACCAGCACTCTTCAAAACTGTCAAGGTCACCTTAAACAAGGAAAGTCTGAAAAACTTTCACAGTCCACAGGAGACAAAAGGAGACATGATGACTAAATATGATACAGTATCTAAAGTGGGATCTTGGGAGAGAAAAAAGGTATTAGAGGAAGTTACTGAAATGTGAATAAACCGTGGAGTTAAGAGTAAGCAATGGAGATTGTTTAGTTGTGACATGTGCACCATGGCTTTGTGGGATGTTAACAACAGGGCAAACTGGATGAGGAGTAGAAGGGAACGCTCTGTACTGCCTTTGTAACTTTTCATGAATCTAAATCAGGGCACCCAGGACTGGGAGTCGCTTACACAGAATATGCTTACATTGTACAGAAAAAACAAAAAGATCTTGTGAAATATGGAGCCCAGCTGCCAAGTGCCAGCACGTGTGATCCTAAAAACCTGACAAAAACCTGATCCTAAAAAGCTGAAACAATAAGCTCCTTTATTAGACCAGACTGCATTTCTCCAGCTACTCCCAGAGAAAAGCAATGGACTAACTTTAATAAACATAATTGAAATCATTATAGTCCCTATAATTAACGGCCTCCAAGATGCAAAATTTCGAGAAAGACTGTTAGTAGGGGTGGAGGTCGGGAAGAGCTACTCGCTCCCCATTCTCAGAAAGGTAGGTTTAATTTTGTTATCTATAAAATATGTGTATACTTGTATAAACATCTGGATGAAATTTGTCTGCATTTTGGTACCCTAGAGGTTTGAGAAAATGGCAAGTGATTTGTCTTTCCTAAGAGCTGTTGGCTGTTCATTTCTTATCTCTAAAGGAGACTGAGACCTGATTAGAAATTTATTCAGTACTGAGTTAATTTTTCCTATCTTGCCTCTCCCACTGTGGTAGGAAGGAGGCAAAGAAAAAAAAAGATCTTCTAGTTTTCCATAATAAGTCTACCTGGATTTAGCCCGGTCACACTTCTCTTTTCATAACCATTAAAGATATTTGTCGTGTGGTTAATCTCTAGAGGGAAGTCAGAATTGTGCCTGGAGAAATTGCTGCACAGGTAAACATTTGACAAGCAGCAAGTGCTTGGAGATGGTGTTTCAAAGGCTCGTTTCTAATTTTTTTGCACCAATTATTTCGTTTGGTAAAAATGAATAATATTTCATCACAATGCCTACGCTGCATCAAATTAACAAACAGTATTAACGGCCTGTAGCCACAGATTACAGCCCAGATACCTAACTCCATCCGACCTAGGTAAATAATTTTTTTTCTCGTTCTAGCTCAGTTTCTCATCTGTAAAATGAATAACTTGGACCAAGCAATCTCCAAGTCAGACTTTGAGATTTGGTGAGGACTTCGAGAAGCAGACTGGAGAGTTTTAGTTTTAGGACTTAGGTAGGGCTTTGGGTTCCAATGGGCAGGATGGTATTTGAAAAGCTCATCACATGCTGGAGTTTATAGAGTCGGAAGGGCAACTGGTCCGGGTAAAAACACATGAAGGAGGAAGAACGGGACAGTGACCCGTCGGAGGGTCAACTCCCGCGACTTTTCTGGGACTAGCAGAGTAATAGGAGCGTTTGGCTGCTAGGCAACGGCGCCTCCGGGGTGGTGGAGGACCCCTGCCCCAGTCGAAGGTGTCTAAGCCACAGCCCTTAATTTAGCCGCGGTGCCATTTCCTCGAAATTAATAAAATATGTAGCCTTTAAAAGGGCACATTTTATTGCACCAAGCTTTGGCAAGCCCTAGCTTATGGGCAAGCCCGTAGCTGAGTTCTGTTCGCGATGGTTTTTCTTCTTCCTGTTCTCAGGCGCTAGGCGGGCTCCTCTCTGACTAGGCCCCGGTCGCCGTGTTGCCAAGCAGAGCTGGACGCCGCTCGCTCCTCCGTCCCCCGCCCCTCCTAGGTCCAGCTCAGGTCCTTTACTGGAGGCCCTCGGCAGCCATGGGCTCGGAGATGGAACCGCTGCTCCTGGCTTGGAGCTATTTTAGGCGCAGGAAGTTCCAGCTCTGTGCCGATCTATGCACGCAGATGCTGGAGAAGTCCCCTTACGACCAGGTACCCGCCGTACCCCATCAGCCCCTGTGGATTCTGGAGACATGGCAGAGCGCTCTGGGGGGATGCCCAGGCCCCCGGGTGGGGACTTCGAGGGGAAGGCCCAGGGCGAGGTTGACCGTGCGGTCAGCTCGGGCGCCTGGAGAGAGACCCCGGGAGCTGTGGCGGGCGGGTGCCGGTCCGCCGCGTTCCCGAGTCCGGAGGGACCCACGATTTCTGTGCCATGATTGCCCCACCCCAAACTTGGGTAGCCACTTTACTTCAGGAGTCCCCCTGAAAGGAACACTTAAAGCCCTTACTTACCTTTTTAAAGGAACTTTAAGCATTTATACTTGCATGTGAACGGGCCCTTAAGCTCGCTGCATGCGCGTGTGTTTCTAAAACAATTACATATAAACATAAAGATCTGTAACTTCTCAACTTCTGTTGAAATACCTGTCTTGTTTCTTTTGGATGAAATGTACGATCCTTCCACTTCATCTTGAGACTGTTATTTAAGAGTGAGGAGGAGCCTTTGGTTTAGGGGCATGACTTCAACTTGAGGAATATAAGGCGAGTTAGAGGAATATAGGAATATAGGAGTGGAAAAGACGCATTTACTATCAGGAGGGAGAGATGGGGGGAAATTTCTCCCTAAAAGAAGGAATGATGGCATTGATTAAAAGAGATCTTAAATGAATTACGGTAATAGTTTAACTTTTCTTAAATAAGGTGTAATATTAACTGAGTCAAAAGATCATATACTACGTATGTGAGTTACAGGTCCGGTGGACAGGTAGTTTCTGGAAGAAACTGGCAAAAAGGAGGAAAAGGGAGAATGGGAGCAAAGCTGTGGCAGTTTGTCAGTCCTAGTCAATTCGAGGTACAGTTCCTATTTTCCAGCTTTCCCTCTAGTTAAAGAAAAAAGAAGAATTGAAGGGAGATGTATGAATATAAGCAGAGGCATGGGTGTGAACACTGTTCCTAAACTCTGCCTTAGGCCCCAGCAAACTGATCGAGGTTAACCTATCCGGGTGAACATTTTGACCTTTAGGTAGCTAATACATCTATCCTGGACAATCCACGTTAGTAGGAATGCTTATCGCGGTTCTGTTTGTTTCTTAATACGATTGTGTTTCTGTAGACAAGCATTTTCCCAAGTGTGTTTCTTGGGACAGTAACAGCAGAGAGGCTGTTCAGAATGTTTCCCCCCATTATCAGACAGGGGAATCATGACCAAATATTGACCCGTTGACACTGTATGACAAAAATTAGTTATAGGCCTGTGATATACCAGACATTGTTCTAGATATGATGGTTCTCAAGAACTTTACATGCTGTTTTCGTTTTTCCATTGAGTTAGGGTAGTTTCCATGCTGTGTTCCAGAGAACACTAGTCCCAAGAGCTGGTCAGTGAAAGTTTCCTCATTAAATGCATTTGGGGAATGTATAGTCCCTTCTTAGGGATTCAAGAGTCATGCTAAAGGCTCTAAGGAGTTCCGAAGAAAAGGAACTCAATTTTGCCTAATTATTATTAACCCAATAGTTCTGAAACTTATTTGACCAATGATTTTTCTTTTATGGCAGCTGGCAAGGGTCAAATATCTTTATTGTCATCATCCTAGGGAGATGTTGTCCTATCGGGAAATGACAACATCTGGACAGAATTGCAGTGTTTTTATCAATGGTTAACACCTTATAATCTTAATGATACATAATCATAGTGCATTCAGTTCTGCACAAATGAATTCGGATTCAGTTTGTGCTGGGCACTGTGATTAGGACTTTATGTGTGTTCAATTTAATGACATTGTATTGAGTGCTCACTGCTTGCCAGACATAAGTTCTATAAATTGTATGTATTTCTATGCTTAGAATAACCTTGCAAACTAGATAACAAAAATTACAGCTAACACTTATTGAGTCTTTACTCTATGTCAGTCTTGGTTCAGAGGGTTTTATTTGTCATCTCATTTAATCCTCAGCTATTTTAGGAAGTTGGTACTCTTTCCCCCATTTTCCAGGTTGAGCACACCTGAGGCACAAGGTAATTTGTCCAAAGTCACAAAGCCGGTAAACCCATTCCCTTTGTCTGTACTGCCCTGTGTCTTTGGCAAAATGCATAATTTTTCAACATCGTGTGTTTCTGAACTTTTGTCAGTCTAATTTCCCATCTATTATGCTTTTTTCAAGATTTTTGCTAAGAGGTAAAGAATTTTGACATATCTATGAACTTGGTTGGATTAAAGGCTCTGAGAAGTGTGAAGGAAAGAAATCTGCCCGCCCTTTATTATGCCAGTACTCGGAAACTTACTTGACCGCTGGCTCCTTTTTGGGAGATGGCGGTACAACTGTCTCCCTTGCTATCCTGACAGGCGTTATTGCTTTGGGAGATGCCTAGCAAAGCAGCAGTGTTTTTATTGGTGGTTAAGAAGGGTCATAGAGGAAATGTTGACTTCTTTCCTTTTACCTAGACAGAATAGGACACACAAGTTAAGGCCTTCATTTAAAATCTCCCAAACTAGCAGCTACACAAGGTAAGATATTAGATGTTTTTGTTTGGCTTCTTACACAGCTCCCATTAAGCCCTACTGACTGACCTCTTGCAAGATTAAAACTTGCCACAAGGTATGTTTGGTGGAACTGTGATTTTGATAATAATAATAGAGGAAAAAAAGACACAGGTTCGTACTGAGAAATATTGCTGCCATCATTAGTTTATTGTTATACGTAGTTAAGATCATTATCACAGTAAGTCTTGTTAGGTTCTGGCCTATTCCTTTGGCCTATTTAAGTGGGTCTGAAATATCAATGTTTCACAATTTAACATATAATTAATTCCTAATACCATAGATACTTTTTATTTTTTTAAAGATTTTAATTTTTTATTTTTAGAGAGGGGAAGGGAGGGAGAAAAAGAGAGAGAGAAACATCAGTGTGTGGTTGCTTCTCCTGCACCCCGTACTGGAGACCTGACCTGCAATCCAGGCTTGTGCCCTGACTGGGAATCAAACTGGTGACCCTTCAGTTCACAGGCTGGTGCTCAATCCACTGAGCCACATCAGCCAGGGCCTAATACCATAGATATTTTTTAAAATCTTATTCTTCATTACTGTTTTATTGTTATGAGCAGGGGTTGATATGTTCGAAGCCCACAAATGTCAGAGTAGGCCTAGGAGAATCAGTAGCAGATCTACAAAAAATGTATTATATTCTTTTCCTTGGTAATCCTTTTTTACTTGTTTTGTTGAGGCAGTTTGTTGAAGAGGAACTATATGTGTTGCCAGAACACTGATTAGTGTTTCACCAGGAATAGAAGTTTAACTTGATGTTACCTTGCCAAACCGGGCATTTGATACCTGGACAGGGCTGCCGGAGAGTTTACAGGGTTCACTTGTGCTAGTTTTGCTTCGAGCCAATCTTTAAACACCAGGCTGTTGCACTGTATGCTTTTCTGAGTACCAGTTTAGGTAGCGTTTTGAACCCAGTTGTTATTTCATTTTAGGAATTTTCCCAGTCTGAGTTTTCCAAGCTTGAAGAAACCCTGCTTTTTTCCTTAATTCAAAAAAATTTAAATATTTATGTTAGAATGCTGAAGCAATTTTTTAAATGAAGAGCTTTCAGAAGCTTGAGGAGGTTCCTCTGCATAAAAACTCGACAGATCTGTATGGTATGTGCAGAGTCTGGCCCATGGGCTGTCGTGGGCTTGCTGAATGAGTGCATCGATCGTGTCCATCTGTGCCTTTCAGTGGCGTTGCTCTGTGTGCCCGGTGACCAAAGATCATTCTAGTTGCCCGGTGACCATCTCTCCACTCCCTGCCTCTCATCCTTGACTCTCAGCACCATAGGTTCTTACATGTACATTTATCTTTTCAAATAAGTGTAGTTGCATTGTGGACACACTTAATTCATTTCTTGTTAATTAGTCCAGACCATTCCTTCTGGTTCCTCCAGGAGGGTATGTCTGATAGTCTCTTCACTGGTATTTCTTAAGGAGTTCTCATTGTTTCAGTGGAGCAAATTAAGTGATGGCGAGACTAGTGATCTATGAAAAGCAGACGGAAGTGTGATGAGAGCAGCAGTGGATGGTCCTCGGCCCCACACTTCGCTGCTTTGACTTCCTGTGCTCCGTTAGCCTCCCTTCCTTCTGTTTCCGAGGCTTCCACCTTTTACAGAAGTAAACTTGCCCTCCACAGTGAGTCGAGTTACCATTCCCGTGCCACCAAACTGACGTAAGTGCAAATGAGTGACTTCGAAGCAGAACCGGGACTCATAGAAGAGCAAGGAGATTAAAAGGCTTCTCTCAAGTGCCAAATGGATTCATTTTCACTCTTTTTTCCCAAACGAAACAGATTTTGATGTGTTGTTTTTTTTTTACTTTTGACTTTGCTTATTTTTTCTCCCAAAAACCTCTCTAAAGGGATTTGTTATTTGTTAATCTTTTTATAAGCTTGACCAGGGAGCTTCAAAAAGATAACATTTTGGTCTTCCTACATCAGCCTCTTTGAAAAAGCCCCCCTTTGAGATTTTTTCTTCTACATTTATTTCTCCTTTAAGAGATATGGTTTTAGTATGCTATGATAAAAAATATTTCATTCGTGCCTTGTGTTTTGTGTTAGGACATTTGGGTTCTGTTTCAGGTTGGTTCTTGCCAGTCGACACTGGCAAGATGGGCTAAAGAGGCACCTGCGCTATGGAACAGCCTGTCTCCTTAGAGCGGTGCGTTTTTGTCTGGCTGCAGAAGCCCGGAAGGGTAGGCTGAGTATGGTATTGTGGTGGTTGGTGACGGGGGAGGGTTGGTGAGGAAGATGGATTCTGCACCACTTTTCTCAGATGCAGAAGGGTGAGAATCCGAGGGCAGGGTCCGTGAGCGGGAAGGACATTAATTAAGGTTCCGGGTAGTTAGGAGGAAAGAGAGAAGGATGGCTGATTAATGTGGCTTAGTTTCCCTGTTTGATAAAATACAGTAAAAACAAGCGGTTCATAAGGAGATGTTGTCTTTTTTTAAATGTTAAGTTGTGACTGAAGAAGTAGTTAGAGATGTAACAGGGAGAAGCAGAGAGTGGCCTTCTGCACTCCAGCCTGACCTGGAGGGAAGGTTGCTTTTACCGCTCATGTGGGTCACCCTGATTAGTTGCTTAATCTGATTACTGTTCTTTGTGTTCCATATGTCAGATTCAGGGCTTTAAACCCAGGCCTGATACTTTAGCTCCATTATAATTAAACGGTTCATAAAACGGGGAGGTTTTTCAGGCAGTGGGGATTTTTAATGACAGTGGGGTAGATTTCTGATAGATTTCCGGATTATTAAAATTTGTGATTCTGGATGCTGGAGTATTAGCTGTATGTCAGAAAGGGGATAATTCACATTCTCTTTCCCCACCCCCAATCTCTGCTTGTAGTTAGGGATATGACAGAGAGGAGGGGGATAATATTGAACTTGGAGACAGGCTGAAAACCACTGGCTTAGATGAGAGATAGGGAACCAGGATTTCCCATAGAGCTCTCTGTGACTCGTTGGTTGAGACCATGATCTGGTCTTCCAAGCCAAAAAACATCTTTCTGTATGATTAATTTATTTTGTCTTTGGGGCCATGAGGATTCAGCCACGCTTAACTGTTTGATTCTGCAACCCACGAGGCAGTTTGTTTCATGAATGATACAGGTTACATTTCCATTTGCCTACTTGGTCACTAAGTCTCCCTAGCCTTCCAAACTCCATCTGTTTCTCTGTTCTCTTTCATTTTTTTCCTTCCTGTTATTGTTAAGTTCTAAATAATGAATAACTCAGAAGAGCAGATTCATTAGCCAGAGTGAGTGTTAGTGGCAATTAGGGAGTCGTATTCAGAATTAGCTGGAGATTTAATTCCCTTGAAGTAATAGCAGCAACCTAAGAGAAAGCCTAACCATAGGGAGGAAGCAAACTGATGTGAATTGAAGTTGATGCTAATGAGTATTTGCTGGTTCTAGACGGTGCCACTCTACATTCTGTGACCTCCTGCTGGCTCTGAAGGAGACTCACAGGGAAGGTTTAATTTGATGTGCATAACCGGCAGCTCCGTCTGAGCTCTGAAAAGGGAAGCAGTAGAGCTTGGTGCTTTTCCATTCGTTACATAAGTATTTATAGAGAAATTCTCTGTGGTTGATTGATAACTTTGTTGAAGGTGCTACCACTTCGCACTTCATTAATGGCGATAGTATACATGTAAGAATTCTGGAAATCATTAAATTTTCTTAGAAGTGCAAGGTTTTCTGTTATAAAGTAGGCGCCGTGACTCCAATTTGAGAGGAGAACTAGATAATGGAGGTTGCGTGATTCGTTCAAGGTCATGCAGCAAAGTGGCTCCCTGAGGAGTGAGCCCAGGTCTTCTGACTCTAGGGCTAGGCCTGGCGCTTTCTACTCAACTGTGTGGATATCCATGGAAATAACCTAACTTGTGGTTCCTAATATGGTGGGTTAATTGACATCGCAAAGCTATCATTGAGAGAGATCCAAAGATGTAGGCTTCAGTGATTTTTAAAAAGTTTTGCTTTGTCTCTAAATTACAATATCCTGAGTCTTTTCTGTTATAGTCCTGCTGTTCCTGGTGGACCTCAGACCAGCCATCCCTGGCCTTGGCCTCCCCACGTTCTATAGTAGTCTGCTTTCCAGCCTTGCTGTGATCTCATGTTCTCAGCAAAGTACATTCTGTTGAGCCAGAGTGCCTACATTCAGATACTGCCTGTTCGCCTCGACCTCAGAGTATTCTTATCTGTAAGATGGGGATGATACCATTCCTACCTCAAAGGGTTGTCATGAGGGTTAAGTTCATTAACACATGGTAAGTGATCAAAAATGTGAGCTGCTGTTGTCTACACAGCTAGAGGTATTCGCATGTAGGATTTTGTCATTTATGCTTTTCTGAAAGGACTGCTGGCAATCTGAAACACATCTGGAAAGCATGTGAGAAAAACGTCCAGTGAAACTGCTGGTGGAATGCTGTTGAATATGGTTCATAGACCACTGGCATGCAGTAATTTCCAGAATAATCTCTCTCCCTTTTCTCTGACTAGCTTCTCTCTCATGTGTTCCTTTCCCCGTCCATCTAAGTCATCTATAATTGGTCCCTAACTTGAGTGAGGAATAACATACTGTATTGTAATTCATTAGTTATGCACTTTCTCCCAGAGCATGTTTTCAGCACCTCGCAGAGTGCCAGGGGTGCCGGGGAGTGTCAGGCAGTTGATGCGTTCTCTGCCTCACGCTCCTGTAGGCCTCTTCTCCGTCTTCCGTTCATACGACCTCACCTGCCTCTACATCTTCTCATCCTCCAGATTTCTCTCTCACCTTCTCATTTCCATCGTTTTCCTCTGTGCCGTTTCACCTGCACGGTAAATTGTAAACGTATCTCGGAGGACCAGTGGAGTGAGACGAGAGAGCAGGTGGGCCTTTATCAGTGCTCTGAGGCTGAGCTGGTGTCAGCTCGGCCACCGGGGCCACTTCCTGCCCTTGGCTGAGTAACATGCATCTCCTTGAGCTGTGTTTTCTTTGCCATTTCAAGCATCATCTGTGATCACCTCTGGTAAACTTTCCTCCCATCCTATAAAGTACTTATCTCCTGTCTCTCCTATGCTTTACCCTTCAATCCTACCAACTCAGTTTTTATCTCCAAGATGCACTGGCAAGAAAAGCCCTGGCTTCTTTGTGTAACCTTGAACAGATTACACGACATCTCTGCATTTGTTTTATCATCTGGAAGGTGGTTGCTAACACCTACCTCTCAGATGGTTGTTATGAGACTCACATGAGATAATGGGTCACACAGACATGCATTCAAGCACAGAGAAGAAAGAACAGAAGGGGTTACTTCTGATGTCTCATTTTCCATATCAGTGTATTTCTCTAAGTGTGGACCGTGGGAAATCTGTGCTTTCCCTAGATCTTTCTTATGCACAGGGGAATTGAAAACCTCCTGTTGCTATGTATTCTTAGTTGCCGTTTTGTGTTAGGTTCCCCTGACTTTAAATACTCTCTAAAGCCCACCCTCGAGGACCTGCACTGTCTAGCCTGGCGTAGCCTTTTTCTCTTGTGTTCTTACCGTGCTCCATGCTAAAGAAACTGCTTATCCTCACTCGGGGACCAGATGGTTTACACATTGCTTGCACACATAATGTAGGGTGTTCTTTTTGGATTTTAGAGCTGCAGAAAGCAAGGCAAGCAAAGATTTTTTTTCTTCCCTCTTTCTATTTCTAAGTAGATCCCTCAATAAAACACGCTCGGGGGTGTTCAGCAGAGGCTGCTCTCTGTAGATACATAAGTGTAGATGTTTTATAAATAAATTTGTTGTTAGTCTGATTTTTTAACCAATGGATTTTTATAACACTTAATGTGGACAGAAAAAAAACCTCCTAGGTTATCAGCACCTGGCCCAAATATATATATCACACAGCCTATTTATAAAAATTTCTCAGAGCACATTACAGTCAGAATTAATTTCTTATCTGTAGTCATTTTATAGTATGCATATTTTCCCTTTTCTCCCTGAATGATTAAAGTCTGAATATTTTAACCATCATCAACTTATTTTGAATGTAAAGAAATATTTCCTTGGTACAGTTGTCAAAGTGTTTTTAATTTGGGGGGCTACTGCGTCTCCATTAAATGAGCAGTTAGGATAGGTTCTCTGTGCGCTAAATGAGGTTAATTAGGTTAACTGAGGTTAAATGAGGTTAATTTTCCGATCATAGAAAATTTAGTACTCTTCAGAGTGTATTAGTTTTATAGAACTCCTGAGAGCACATGCACAGAAAAATTAAAGTTATTATTTTGATTTTTACTGAATGAATCTGGGTTCACCTACAGATACTTGGTTAGTCATTAAGACTTTTTGTTTTAGAAACTGTATTTCTTAAAAATGTTTACTGCCTTCTTAATGCTTCCCAGGAACCAGATCCAGAATTGCCTGTACCTCAGGTAAAGGTTTAGCTGCAACCTTTAGTTTAGAGAATTCTTAATTACTGTCGCTTCATTGTTGCTCTAGAGTAGAAAATCTGCTGCATTTCTGCCTGTGGTAGTGTAGAATGAGCCACATCTATCAGACATTCTGTATCTTCTTCTTCTGTAAATATTAAATTTCTAATACTTTTGAGCCTGTGGATGAGTAACCTTGTAGAACTCACGCAATCTATTCATTGAGCCTTGGAGCTTAAGTAGAAATAACCAGTGTTGACCAGACGGGTGGGAAAAATTAAGGACGCGAGGGAAGCAGGGGCTTAGAAAGGGAGCAAGAAGTTAGCAGAGCCCGAGGGGTCTGGAAAGACTGCGATGGATGGGACGTGTCTTGATAAACAGTAGTCTGAATCTGCTTCAGAAGGACTTGATTTTAGACAGAGGTTCCTGTCACAGGTGAAGAAGAAAGGAAGGGACCCTGGCCAGACAGCCACGTCCAGAAATCTGCTGGGTTAGAGATGGAGGGTGGTCAGAGAGGCCTTACCTGGATAGGACACCGTGAGGGAGGGAGGAAGCAGGTCTGGTTAGGGGAACACCTGGCCAGTGAGGCTTTTAGGCCACCAAGTCTGGAAATAAGGGAGGAAAGAGCTGTAAATCCGAGAGTTTCAACATTGCCAGGTGTTTGCCCTGCCAAGTGAGAGAGAATTTTAAGTTGTTTTTTTTTTTTTAGGTGAATGAGCAATTTGAACCTTATATGGGGTTCATATGAATACTCATCAAACCTTTTAGAAGTAAGCAATATACAGAGTACTCTTTTGGAGGCTTAAGCAAACCTCATAAATAGGTTGGAATGTAGTAGTACTCTGTTCTTTAAAAGTATGCTGTTTGTCTTTGAAATGTTTATAACCACGATTTCCAAATTGATAGATGGTGCAAAACTGTTTTGTGCATAATATGTACAAATCATTTAAGAAGGACCTGAATTACAAATAGAATAAGTAATGTGCTTTTTGTTCTCAGTAATTGTGGAATATTTTGATTAAAATTAAATTAAAACATCAATAATTTGCATTCTTTTTATGGTTTTAAAACCGTAAATGGCCTTTGAAAGTTTCAAGCTAGCACAGGGACTACCTCATGAAAGACCCGAACTTAGTATTACTTTGCTGTTATGTGGATTTAATTACTCACTGGGTAGTGGGTTAAAAGAATAAAAAGGAACAAGGTTGACTGGATTCTTTTGAGCTCACTATGTACACTTTTTGCCTTTTTTCTTTTGAGCATTTTTACAACTTCAAAATACATGAGGCTTTGCTATAATAATGAAGTATTTTGTGCCTGTTTTCATTTTCGTAGACTAGGCAGTCCCAAATGGTACAGATTCTTATGATGTCAAAATCAGGTTAGACACTGTTCTTTGGGTTTTGTTCTAATAATAACCTTGCAAAATTATTTCTTACATGCTTTTAACTACTGGCCTTGCATTGTGTATTAAGAGGAACAGAACACTGTAAACATATTTCCCTCAGTATAATTTTTATGTCTTCATATGTTTATTTTTATAACTAAAATTGGATTAACCTTACAGAAGGTAGAATACACCAGTATTTTACTGATGTTAGCCAGAAGATATTTGCCTCCAGAATAATGCCCTGTAGACTAACTCAGTAGGTAAATTAGATGGGATTATGTTTCATAGATACAAAGGAAAATAATTGATGTGATGATTAGGAGAACTATGCTTTTTTCTTTAAAAAATGTTCCTACGCATCTATTCTTTCTGTGGATTTCACAGTACTTCCAATACATAGATAGGTATTCCAATTATTTACACAAATTGCATGACCCTGTCATTTTCCAACAAGTTAAACATATCTGATAAAGCTAATTTATATTTTTATTCAAATTCAAGGGACCATTTGGGATCACAGTTTGGGCTTTATTTTGCATTTTATTTTAATCACTGATTAGTTTTGAACTTTTGAAAACAAATTGGAACAGACAGAGGATTTTAGAGCTGTAAAACATACTTGGCTTTTTTCCAAAATAAAATTTTTAATTGTTTTAAAGCCAAAGCCCCATCTGCTGTTTTTTATTAAAATCTCAAGAATTGTTCACATTGCCAAGAGCAGTTCTTTGAATACAGTCTGATCTTTCATCCAGCAACGGTATGTGATGTTCAAGGTCATTTTTTGTTAGGATAGAAGGAAAGTCAGGAAGATTAATATTCTCAAATGCTGATGAAATTTAAAATTTAATAATGGTTTGAGTGGATTGTATTACAGAGCTTTAAGTGTCAAAAATTCACATCATTATTTCTGCTTAAAAATCAGATTTTAGGAACTGAAACATGTATAGCTCTGTTTAGCTTTTTGAGAAAGTGAATTATTATGGAATAAAATTAAAAAGAATGTTCTTATTTGGTTCCTGAAGTACTTTTTCATTTGGTGAGGGAGGGAACAGCAGATTTACTCTCTTTGTTTGCTTTGCCTAATGTAAAAAATCGCACCTCCTTAATATCTGAGGGGCCAGTAGGAAGATAGATGTCAAGAAGCGTGATGGATTGGACTGTGAGATAAAGTCTGGACATGAAAATAATTTAAAAATATGTGCATGAATAATTAATACCCAACTGTATAAATGATACTATAACAATAAAAACTTGACTTTTAGAAAGTCAGTGAAGACTCCAAATCATTGCTTTGAAGCTTTATTAGCCCCTCCTCACCAGGATAAAAATCCCTGTTCCTCACTGCGGCACCTGGGGTCCGTCGTCTGTCAGCTCCTGCCTTTTCCTTCCGGCGTCTTCTCTGACTGCTGCCTCGGCCGAACCTGAGTCTTCCACCGCGTGCCAACTCTCTTGGAGCCGCCAGACTCGCCTGCTTCTGCCCTGTTGTTATTCACTCTGGCCCGAGCCCTTCTCTAGGAACGCTCTCTACTCTTCCCTCTGCCCGCGGGCAGCTGGGTGCCTCTCCCCTCCCACAGCTCCAGAGTTTTGTGATTAGTTTCCACATAACACTGAAATTCTCATGAGCCAGAACTAGGACTGCGGCCTGCTTATCTCTGTTCCCAGGACCTGGCAAGCAGCAGGTGCTCCTGAGTTATAAATACGGGAACCATCCAGCTGAATCAGCCAAGCTTCTTGCTTTACTGTTCCAATCGAAAACGCCGCAGTCCTTCTTCCCGCCCACCAGAGGGCGCTGAGCACAGAATGCCCTTCTGACAAATGGAAGCCATCACAGACTTGCAGGGCAGTATGAACTGAGGGGGCTTAAATCAGGATTACCTATTTCCATCTTGGAAGTTAAATTAAATCATCAGTCTAAGCCGGTGATTACTTTCCCTGACCCCTAAGGATAGTTGTATAAATCTGTCAACTTTCCTGGTGTTTTATGAGTGAAAACCTCGGGTCGTTTCTACAGTTTGGTGGTTCCCACAGTTGGATGCCATTCCGAATGAAACTGACTTTTTTCTAACAAACAAATTAGTTTTTAAAGTCCATAGTCCATTCATTTAATTGTGTCAAATTTACTTATCACATTTGAAACATTTTATTCTAACTTATCTAATAAGAATCTAATAAACCTCAACCATAAAAGTACAAGCCAAAAAACCCCGATCATCTAACAAATGTAATTTCACCTTAGGAATCTAAGTATATCGTGAAGATAGTCTTTATTCCCATTTCAATTACTTTAGCCCAGAAAGCGATCTCTACTTTCTAATTTCTATAAAATGATTTTCCATACCACACACACTTGCGCTGCTTAGCCTTGCCGTATATTCCAATAGGTGGTGTGCTCAGGGAAATTAGGATCCATGGTTTAATCTCGTGTTTCCTTCTGAGAACCTCAGCCATTGCTGTAGTTAGGAGGTACTCAGTAGATGTGGACTGAATGTGCCTTGGGCTCCTTACTTGAGGGCTGGTTGGAGCTCTGGTAGCTCTCACGTGCTCCTTCCTGCGTCCCTTGGCATTCATTCAGCAGGCTTCACAGCCAGATCCCTAGTATGGTGAGCTCTGACCCCACCCCAAGCTTCCCTTGCTGCTGCTGCCTCTAGACGGGAGAGTCAGTTCTATGCTGCTGCTTCGACACCTGCCTGCTCCCCATGTTGTCCATAGGACACTGGGCTTTATTGTTCTCTGCTTCTGTTCTGTGGGGGGGGGCAGAGGTAAATGTTTCTGATAAGCAGTTTCACGTGTTTAACAAAAGATTTATATTTGTGTACACCTGTACATCTAATTTCTCAAGGTTAGAGCAAGGCTATTAAGATATTTCCTAGATTCCTTAATTACCTTTTCCTTCCCTGCCCCCTTTCTAGCTGGTTTTCTACTGGCTAGATTACGGAGCAACCAAGATTGTGTTGATTAGTTATTGGGAATAGAGAGAAATTGATCTTAGTTAATTCAGTATTTTTGGAATGCCTGTTGTGCACAAAACATCACATAGGTGTTAGGGAACATTAAGAAGTGAACAAGGTAAAAAAAGCTTGTGTTCTGGGGAAGAAAGGGCTCACCTGTGCCCAAATAATTGTAGTGTTTGTTGAATACGGTAAGTACATAATGATAGAAGTATAAAGAGAGTGCTCCATGAGACAGATGAGAGCGAAGTGGGTTGGAGCTGAACTACTGGGAGTCATCGTGAAGGACTTGTCCCTGGAGGGGGAAGGCAGAAAGAGCACAGTGGTTGTACCTTGGTCCGTCTGTTTTCCAGTTATCATTCTAGTAAAATTGTCTCTAAAGATGTTTCATTTACAAGAGGGCATGTTAGAAGTCCGCAAGATAATTACCACACTTTCATTTCTCAGGCAATTGATACATTGGCTGTTTCTCGATGAGTAATGGCCTTTTCTTATTGTGTTAGTTTCATGACATAGCCCTTTGAATTAGTATAATGCACATGCTTACTAATCAACTGGATGATAATGAAGGGTGGCTGGCTTCTATAGGCTTTGCAGGATTTCTGATGATGTTTGATATATACTTCATTCTACCCACACCTTTTCAGGCAGCTTGGATTTTGAAAGCACGAGCACTCACAGAAATGGTGTACGTGGATGAGATCGACGTCAATCGGGAGGGCATTGCGGAGATGATCCTGGATGAAAACGCTATCGCTCAGGTCCCACGTAAGCGCTGGTTTGTCAGTGAAGGAAGTGACGTGCCCATAGGAGGAGGAAACCTTGTGTTTATCAGATAAACACAAGACATTACATACATAAGAAAACACTGCCTCAAGTAGATGGTCTCCACTCCACCTTATAGTACAAAGACTTCCCTTCCACAATTCAGTTATACTGTTTTGAACTTAAGGTGGGAGATGGATGTACAACAATTTTGAACAACAGCTATATTATTCATTTAAAAATGTATGAAAATGCACTCTGCTTACCTAGTATATCAGAAGATTATTTTGAGAGTCTAAACATAGGAAACATCCGATTAACGAGTGTTCTAAAAGGATTTTTAAAAATGACCTTCCCCAAACTTCACTTTGTTTTAATGACGGAAGGCAGTTGGTGCTGATGCAGGCTGTGACGTGGTGGGGTGACAGGCTGGGCTGGGCCTGCCTGTCAGGGCTGTGGCAGAGGCCCGGGCCCCAGCTTTCCGGCGAGCGAGCCAGTACCAGTGGCACTGGATGGTTACCATGACAATGGTAGTCTTGCTGGTAACGTATTAGTTACGACAATTAATCATCATTTGTATTTTTGGAAGGTAATAGCTATTTTAAAGCTTCAGATGGAAATCAGGAAGAACATATGTTTCGTGTTAAAATGTTTCCCCCCCCATCATTTTGCTCTTTTTGAGTTAAAATACCAGAATTCTGGATATGATGGTACATGATTTTTATGGGGAGAAACTCGTATGAAAAGTAGACTATGCATATAAAACTGTCATGTGACGTGGCAGAGCCTCGGAGCCTGCCGGTCCCCAGTCGGAGGCCCAGCTCCCCTCGTGGTTGGCCCGTTGACTCAGCTCGAAGTCAGTGATTTTCAGCCTTTTCCATCTCGTGGTACATGTGATCTCATTGCTAAAGTCCTGAGACACACCAGAAAACATATTTTTTGCCAATCTGACACAAAATAGGTATCATTTTGATTCATTCACACCGGACAGCTATTGTTGTGTTGGCTGTTGTCAGTTTTTTATTTGATGATCTAAGGGAAGAAAGGCCAGTGCCCCTGACTAAATAGATGCAGTATTGCCTGTTTTAAAAATTCTCGTGGCACGTTGAAAATCGCTGGCCTGTGCCTTTGCTAAAGGGGTTAATACTACCTGTGTGAAGACTGACTTAGTGTGAAGATTAAATACGATAACGTAAGTAGCATGATAGGTGTGCAGTAAATACTAGTCTCAAACACATTTCCCTAAAGTATATTTCCTGTGGTTAATGTCTTCTTCACCAGGCCAGCACATTTTTGAAAATTCATTTGCTGACAGTTGTTATAGTTTAATAAACACTATCTAAATTGAATTTACTGTCTCACCTCGTAGGCCCGGGAACATCTTTGAAACTCCCTGGGGCCACTCAGACAGGAGTCCCTAGTCCAGCTGTCAGGTATGTGCTTCTGTTTCACACCCTCGGCCACTAAATACTGACCGAGCTGCTTGAGAACCTTTCTTTATCAGTCGTCTCTGTATTTCACAACTGGCCTCCATCGCAGGCCGCTCACTCAGGCTGGAAGACCCATCACAGGTTTCCTGAGACCCAGCACGCAAGGCGGGAGGCCAGGCACCATGGAGCAGGCCATCAGGACGCCCAGAGCCACCTACACCGCCCGCCCGGTGACCAGCTCGTCCGGGAGATTCGTCCGCCTGGGAACGGTAACTCCCCTCGGCTCTGCCAGGGCCGGTAGCCGCATCGCGGCGTTCGGTCCGTTCCTGCTCACTGTTGTTGTAATGGAGGAGTAGATGCAAGGTTTTTAAAGGGGATCCCTTCTCCTTGTGAGGCCTTTATAATCGTTGTGTATACGTTTTAATTTGGTTTCAAGAGAGAGTTTTCTATTTCTTATATTGTCACTTTTCTCCATAGGCTTCCATGCTTACAAGTCCTGATGGGCCTTTTATAAATTTATCTAGGCTGAATTTGACAAAATATGCCCAGAAACCCAAATTGGCAAAGGTAAGTACTTCAAGTTATGTTATGAAGTAATGTTAGAAGTATTATTGTAATAACGTGGTAGGAAATGGTAAGAATTTGTGAAGGAAAGGCCATGTTTTGATTGAAATGGATATGTTTGATTACTTCGATGAGGCTGGAGTTAAGGAAAGTCAGTCAGAAACATAGTATATCCAGTGTACCATTATTATAGGGAATTCTCTTTTTTCTTCTAAGGAACAGCAGTTTACAGCAGGGAAAGCGGATAACAGCATCACCTTCAGGGAGTAAGGCTTAGGCGATCATCTGTGTGTGTGTGTATTTTGTTTCTTTTTCAGCTTGGTCTTTTCTCAGAAAAATAATTTTCTATCTTTGAGGATTTTAGGACTGTCAAAAAGAAGATAAAAAGCACGTACTCCTTCAAATTAGTAACGAACCAGGCATCTCAATAAGAATTACTCAAACCAGACAGTGACAAGCCAACTACATTAATAATTCTCACTACTCAAAGATTAAATGCTCCTTTAAATTAAAGAGTGTGTCTGTGTCTGTGTGTGTGTGTGTGTGTGAGAGAGAGAGAGAGAGAGAGAGAGAGATCAATGACCTTTCCAGGATAAAAAACTTGGAGGTGAGTGCAGAATAATTCAGAGCTAGGAGCCCCCATCTTCTGGAAACTGGTTGAAGCCTGGCTCAGCATTTTAACTGCCATCTCTGTGAGTCAGTGCACGAGTCCTGAACTCATTTCTAATCTCAGTTCTAATGGCATTTAACATATTAACAAAATATCAAACACTCTAGGGAAAACCACAGTGAGCACAAGCCATACAGATTTCAAGTTTAAATCAGGAAGAGAAATGCCAGTAGGTAGAGAGGGAATCAGATATAATAATGCTAATGATATTTTCTTCATGTCTTACTTGACAGCAGTCCAGTCCACTTCAGTTAGCAGAGTCATGAAGCTTTTCTCATTTCTCTTTCCCTTATGAGAGTGGAGTATTAAAAGTAGCCCGGGTGGAGTACCTGGTCCCTGACCTTTTGAGCCATTCACTGAAGGTGGTGGGATGGCTTGTTGGTTCCAGTGCTGCTTTCTAAGCAAGGAGGGCAGTCAGTGGAGGCATTTTCCTAGTTAAATTACGATGCTTCCAGGACAGACCTCCGTGACTAGATTCAGACTGAACTAGGTTGTGCACTTTTTCAGTGTGTGGTAGAAGTAATGCCGGGTCTTTCGGTCTTTGGCCCCCAGCTGGCCTGGCCTCCGCAGGACTCACTTCTAGTGCTGGCTCATTGCGTAGGGGTCTGCGGAGGCCCCCTGGCACTGTCTGAGGGGCTGTCACAGCTTTTGCATGGCAGTTGCAGCACCAGTTGTACTCTCTCTTTTTTCTAAGTTGTTTCCAAGTCCTCTCTGTTGATAACCTTGACATCTTCCAGGGCGCCAGCCTCTTTACATGTGTGAATAATGTTATTATGGGCAAACATAGTACTACCAGCAGATAATCCAGTAAATGCTGATTTATCCAGATGAGTTGGCTGAAGGATTAAAATAATGGTTCTCAGCCCTTGTGTTGCTCATTAGAGTCATCCAAATAATAAGCAAAAAGCACTGTACTTTATACTTAAACTTGACTTCACTTTGGAAGGAATGTCTAGGTTTTCCTGTGTATAAAGTGTCATTCTTGATATCATGATCACTGTATAGTAATGTAAAGTATGTAAAAAATTGGTTGAATCTATTTTATGGCAATCCTAAAGTCAGTTTTTCCTTTGTCCCTTTGTATGAAGATAGTTTGTATAATATGAAAAAATGTTGTTATTTGTTTTCCAGGTTGTATTCTGTAAAAACAGGAATTAGTTGTAAATATCGTATTTTAAAATGGATGATTATGACAAATGGCGGAGAGACCCATTATTTATAAATCCCATGCCCATTAGAGTACCTTCTTATTTAGGTTCAATCTAGCTGTTATCAAAACTGCCTTTGAGTTTTGATATAATAATGGTGTGTTTTTGTTAAAATAAAATCTAATGTATTTTTGTTTTTTTTCTTTGTAGGCTTTGTTTGAGTATATCTTTCATCATGAAAATGATGTTAAGACTGTAAGTTTTGAATTCGTGCTATTTCTTTTATTTTAAATGTTCTGACTGTAGGGATTTAGATTCTGAAATGTTCTGTTTCTTTCCTTTCTTACCTTATAAACGGATGGAATTATTAAAGATTGGAGAATTACTAATACTTTCAAATCCATGGTCAATTTCAATAGGAAAATTTGTATAAATATAGAAGTGGTAAGAACTGTGCCTCACCTATAGAGTGCACGGGTCTCCATTAAAGGACAGATATAGATCATTGAGAATACTGCATAATACCCCTGTTAAAGTTTATTTTCTATAGTCAGCATTGTTGATCTGTGTTTTTCTTTAATCCGAATTGTGTGTTAAAATAGGTTTACCATACATCTATTTCTGACTTCTTTATAGTGCAACCCTTCTCCCCTATTAACATTTTATGATAGAAAATTTGAAACATATGTGCAACCAAAAGAAAAAATAAAAATCAACCCTCAAAACAAAAAATACTTCAAACATATGAAAGTAGAGAGAATAGTAACATGAGCCTGTACCGTCCATCACCCAGCTTCAGCAATAACCACTCCTCCTGGAAGCCTCTTTGTAGGGAATTTGAAGGTTATATGCATATGACTTCTCCATTTGTTTCATTTTTGCATGTTAATATGCAAATGAGCAGTAAGCTCACAAATTTTGTTAAATCGAATGTAGTTGATTCTGCAGTGTCTAATGATAGTATTTTCCTGTTAGTTCAAGAAAGCAACCCTGACTGGTGTAGCTCAGTGCATTGAGTGTGGGTTACAAAGTAAAGGGTCGCCAGTTTGATTCCCAGTCAGGGCACATGCCTGGATTGTAGGCCAGGTCCCCAGTAGGGGGCGTGCAAGAGGCAACCATGCATTGGTATTTCTCTCCCTCTCTTTCTCCTTCCCCTCCCCTCTCTCTAAAAAAGAAGGGGAAAAAAAAGAAAGCCCCTTTATAGTTACATAGTAAGTATTCAGGAACATAAATTATTTTCGTCAATTTTGTTTTCTGCTGGCTTCACTCTATAATCTCAGGGCCTAGAACAGTGCTTGGCACATTGTCGGGCCTCAAAAAATATCGAATGAAAGAATACATGTAAACCACTATGCTTTGTACAAGGAAAACTAATGAAAAAATGGTATTTTTCTGCATCTGCGAACCATTCGATCTAGCGGAGGAAATGGCACTTGATATAATGAAACAAAGAGGTAATTGCCAAACTGAAATTGTTACCAAGTGGCAAAGGGAGAATATCAGAAGGGGTAATTTTAGTAATGATCCATACAATAAGTAGGGTTTTTTTGGAAAGGAAGGAAAATAAACATAAAGAAAGAGTAAAAACATGGTCCGGATGTGGAGTGAGAAAGACATAGGCCATATCCTGAAAAGTGGAAGTGCCAAAGAGACATGTTAATGAAATAAGTATCAGAACATGATAGCAGGTTTGACAGGGAGGACAAAGGAAGACGCAGGTCAAATCTGCCTCCTGAAGATGCCATAAGAAAAATGGTTTTGCTAACAGAAATAGGGTAATTGAAGAAGGAAGCCAGTTTGTAAAGAAGCTGAGTAATTCCCTTGAAGGCATTTTGGGCGGGAGGTTGTGGAAGGCCCTCTATGAGGAGATGGCCCTGCACGTATGGAAGGATGCGGTATGAACGGACAGGGGAGAGCCTGGCTTGGCAGGCAAGATACCGGACATCTCTATGAGGAAGTGTCGGTGGACGTGGTTGCGAGGGACACGAGGAAACTAGGTTTGGGGCAGCTGAAAATCCAGGCACCATCCTGTGAGTGAAAGTCAGTGCACGCCATTTTCACTTAGTGTAAGGGGAAGCCTGGTCGGACGCTTTCAGCGTGGTAGATGAAATCACGTCGTCACACTGACATTAAAAGAAAACGTCAAACACCATTTCTTTTCATAAATGGGTAAATGTATCTATAACTACTAGAGTACCATAAAGCTATCGCTTGACTTTCTGAAGATTGCTTCATTTACTGAAGAGGCATTTATTCCTTTGGCCAGTGTATTTTGAGCCACTACCATGTGCCAGGCACTGTTCTAGGCCCGAGATTACAGAATGAAGCCAGCAGACAAAAATCTCTGCTCTTTGGGGGATTATAATTCCGATTTGGTAAGGAACAGAGACAATTAGTAAATAAAAAATATCTAAAATGTCATAGGCTCATAAACAGTTGGAAAAGAAGAAAGCAGGAAAGCAGGTGAGAGTCGAGAAGGACAAGGGGGGAGATGCTACTTTGGATGAAGTGGGAGGTAGCCAGCGAAGTCCACTCTGAGAAGACACTGAAGCAAAGACCTGAGCGAGGAGGGGTGAGCCCTATAGTTTTATGTAGGAAGATCATACAGGTCGGAGAGAACCTGAACTGCAGAGGTCCTGCAGAGGACCATGACTGGGCTGTTTACGGAACAGTAATGAGGCCAGTGTGGCCGGAGTGAGGTCTGTGAGCAGGGAGGTTGCAGGCAATGCATTTAGAAAGCAGACATGTCAAATGCTGTGTGTAGGTCAGCCACAGTGATGACGTCTTTATTAATATATTCATGTTGACGATGCCATTCTACACCTTCGCATTTACATAATGTTGAGGAACATGAACGCGATTGAGAACAAAGATTTATTCTCTGCCATAACTGAGTGTATAGTCTAATAGAAGACTTTAACCTTTACATATTATGTATTACAGAATGCTTCTACAGTTCTTTACACTGATTTTTAAAAATTTGATCGTAGTACAGCAATGACATTTAAATTTTTTATTTCGGCAGAAAACCTTTTTTTAAAAAATGAGATCTTACCCAGACCCTAATACATAAGCAGACAGAAGTGGAGCTGCTTGAACTGAAGCAGAAGTAGCAGACCAATAACACACCCATTGGGCCTCCTCCTTGCTCCTCCTTCCACCGCCTGCCCACCCCTCCCCTTCCCTTGAGCTCCTGCCCCTCAGATCCTAGATCAGGCTGTTGCTGAATTGCCTGGGGAATTTTATTTTATTTTTATTTAAAAAATATTTTATTTATTTATTTTGAAAGAGGGGAAAGGGAGAGAAAGAGAGGGAGGGAAACATCAATGTATGGTTGCCTTTTGCACACCCCTCTACTGGGGACCTGGCCCAAAACCCAGGCATGTGCCCTAGACTGGTAATTGAACCCGCGACCCTTTGGTTCACCGGCTGGCACTTACTCCACTGAGCCACACCTGGGGAATTGGAAAAAGAATGGATTTCTGGATCTATGCCAGACTTCTTTAGTCAGAATCCCAATCTGGTACATGTGTTGGGAATAAAATCTCCGCAGGCAGTGCAAGTTTTCAACCATGATTGGAGACTGCTGCTTAGAATATAGTATGAAAACCAATGATTAAGACAAGGCTGCAATACTAGGCCTTCTAACACCGGAACATAGACTTGAATGCCAGAGCTCCGTGTAACTAACAGACAAGAGGGGTGTGTCTCCTGGTTCAGTGGAAGGAATCAATGAAATAAGAAAAAGGGCACAACAAAATGACTCAAAGTTACCTAAGTAAAAGGCAGTGATACAACATGCTGTTGAGAACTGCAGTCTCCATGTATAAATGTTACAGTTTTATTCTTGGGAACAGAAAGAGACTTAATGCACTAGAAACAAGCAACTTTGAGCACAACTTTTGACTTTTTGAAATAGAATCTTATACTTTATTAAAAACACTGTCCAGGAAATTAGTTTAAGGACTTCTTTTAGACATTTGATCAACGAAGAAATAAAAAAATGTAAACTAGCAAACGGCAGAATGTTTCACAGATTTGGTTGCATTTACAAAGCAATCGTGAAGGAACACAACCCACGTAGATATCTCTATGTAGTGAACAGGAATAAAACCACAAGTGAAATGACAAGAGAAGGGTGAAATATATACCTCAAGCATGATATAAAAATATTGGTGTTAGTGTTTGTTCAACAGAAAAGAGCTTGTGTTAATTTGTCAATACTTTCTTACCAACAACAGGAATGTAAATTAAAGAAATTTTGGACTTGCAATTTTACATTTATGAAATTTGAAAAAAATGCCGGGGGAAATAGAGTATATTATATATTCTAGATGATCTCTTAAATGGTATAATAATTTGGAAAACACTATGGTAATATATAGCAGGTAGTTATAAGATACTCATTTTTTTTCTGTAGTTTCACTTCTCAAGAAATTTCATGAAAAAGTCAAGTGCTGTCTTCGCAAAGATGTTCATTATAGTGTCATTTGTTGTAGCAAAAAATCTGAGACACAACCTAAAAGTTCAATGACAGAAGATGAGTTTAGTAAGTTATAATAAATTGAGCAATGAATTTTATGCAGCCATTAAAAACCCTAATCATAAAAACTAGGCAGAAACAAGAAAAGTGTTTATTTCATAACCCTAAGCTAACTAAGTATACCATTTAGAACTTTAAATAGAATTGTAACTCTAAAAGATATATTTATGACTGAGAGTGTAAGGCGTTACCTAAAAATGAAAACGGTGGAATTGGGGAGTAAGATGTACTCATTCTACAGACACCTGTGGGATGCGTGCGTTGTGCCAGCAGCTTGGATAACAACAGTAAGTAAACGAGTTATAGCTGATGGCACTGATGGAGAGTCAGTCTAATTGTACTTCAACCCTCACCCACAGTTTTCAATAATAATGTCATAGCACGTTTTCATTTATAAATTTAGCATTAGTGAGGGCCAGTAATGAAAGAAAATGCTTATAATCATACCCTGCTTGTTATTTTTATCTGCTTACCTCCAGTACATCTACACTAGCTTATAGAACTTACATTAAGCAATTTGTTTTGTTTTTATTTAGTAAAAAGCACAAATTGTTGGTTCCTCTCTTTTCCTTTTTACCCGCTGGTTTGTTGATTGGCGCTGTTTGATGGGGTTATTCTCTGAACGAGCACTTGTTGACTGCCTGTGCGTTTGTCCTGTGTTGTGTTCTGGAAGCACCCAGGGGGCTGGAAGTCCAGGGCCCGCTTCCCACCGGTCAGGGCTGGACACGTCGGAATTCCCCGGTGGATCAGATCGTTCCGTTAAACTGTCACTTCCGATTTCCCCACCAATGTTATCTTCTGAATGGAATAAGAATTTAGATAATGAGCCCTGGCTGGTGTAGCTCAGTGGATTGAGCTCGGGCCTGCGAACCAGAGTATCTCCGTTCGATTCCCAGTCAGGGCACGTGCCTGGGTTGCAGGCCAGTTCCCAGCAGGGGACTCATGAAAGGCAACCACACATTGATATTTCTCTCCCTCTCCTTCCCTTCCCCTCTATAGATAAATAAATAAATTAAATCTTTTGGGGAAAAAATAATTTAGATAATGAACAGAAAGCATGCATTTTTAAAATACTTTTTGTATGTTTTGAAACTGAACTAAAAAATAAAAATAAGAATTCTGGTTTTTAACATGCTGAAGAAATCAGAGGTGCTTTCATACTGGCTGTTTTGGATAGCCACCAAATTTCTAAGCACATATGTGCTTAGAATTTCTAAGTCATATGTGTCTTGTTTTAAAATTTCCACAGCCTTCAAGTAGAGATGCTGATTTTTCAAGTGTTAGAACCCCAGCGTGGTGACACCATTTTTAAAATCATTTGCATATTTGGAATTCTCCCTTGGACCAAGAGAAGATGGGAACACAAAGAAATGTTACTAGTTTTGCAGGAGGAGATCCAAGGAATATTTCTGGCATTTATTTCAGTTTTAAAAGAGTTAATATTAAGAAATGGACATTAATATGGGGTACATTCTGAGATAATCAGAACTAAACATCTAAGAATTACTGTAACTAAATTGTTGGCTGTCATGATTACACTAACACTGTCTAAAGAATAAAAGTTTCCCAACCTTGAGAGAAAAATAATATTATCTTAAAAATTGGAATGCTCTTTTAACTAATAACTTGAGTTTTTATTCACTGAATCTTTACATGAGCTTTTATTCACCAAATCTTTACATCAGATTTCTATGAGCTTCAAATTTGTATAAAGATTGGTTTGCTTTTCTCTGTCCAAATGGTTTCCACCTCCGCTTGTATACAATTTGAATTCCCATTTAGTCATTTCTTGTTGGATCTTGAATAAACATGAGCAAGAACAAATAAACTAGAAGACATGAGAGAGATGGGATAAACACATGTAAAATGTGAAAGCGATCAAGGAGGGTGTTTTTCAGTCTGCAGCAAAGGAAAGTCTGGCCGCCAGAGTTACTGGAATGTGAGGTGACATCAGAATAACAAAATGCAGGTTTTTGAAGACAGCAGTTACCCAAGTTCCCAGCTTCTTCCTGATCCTGTTTCCCAAACCTCTTTCTACCTGCTTACTTGATCTTTTTTCTAGTTCTCCACATCTCTAGTTATAGCGGGGTCTGTAATTAGGCCAGGCTAACACACCAAAGGTGTGACTGCCACTGAGTTTGGAGACGTTTGGAATTAGTAGACAGTCAATCCATGGTGGGGAGAGGGTAAAAACGTACAGGTTTTAAAATGTCAGTGTTGTGCCTTGTATATTAAAATTGTGCTCGAATATGCGGTGCCTCGGCTTCCCTTTAATCAGTGTTTGCTTCTCCTCTGCCGTCAGCCCTCTGGTCTGGAACGGATTATTCCGGGAAAATTGGCGGGGCCATCTGGAAACATGAGCAACTGGAGCCGCTCTCTGATTTCTAATGCATGTTTTGATTGATGCTAATTACATGGTTTATTGCATTATTTGCTGTTTCTGTTTATTGTTAGAAAAGAAAATCCTAACCTAAAACGACTTGTTTTCAAAGGCTTTGGACCTGGCTGCCCTTTCCACAGAGCATGCGCAGTACAAGGACTGGTGGTGGAAAGTGCAGATCGGCAAATGTTACTACAGGTAAAACCTGGGCTGTCTGCGAAGGGCTTGGGAGTTGCCACACATCGGAGAGTTTCAAACCGGATCATTTTTGAGGGGCTGGGGGATAGATTTTTCTCATGCAGAAGTGAAAAACTCTTTGGCTCCCTTGAGAAAGCATTTACTTAGCCATCACATGGTGGCACAAAGGGCCGACCCCTTTAGAATAATAAAAGAGTAGAGCCGGGGAGGGGGAACTTTGAGGCCATGGGCCCAACACTCCTTTACCGATGAAGCTGAGGCCAGAGAGAGGCTGTGCTCTGTGTTGGGAACCTGTTGGTGACAGACCTGGGACTGCCATCCAGTGCGTTGATTCCCGCTCCACGCACAGCTCGCCTCTCGTGTTTCTTTGCGCTGTTGCCTCACAGCTGTAAAGTGCTTTACGGTTAACTCACCAGATCTCACAGCACCTGGGAGGGAGTTGCTTCCATTGTCCAGATGAGGGAAACAGCCTCAGAAAGGTGAAGGGATTCGCTCAGATTCCTGAGGCTGATCCACATGTGGCAGAACGAGAATTCCAGCTCAGCATTTTGCTGCTGGTTCTCCTATTATTTGCACAGTTCCATAGTGTTTGTGTAGGGTCTGAATATTCTTTCATTTTTACAATTTAAGTACATTTTTCAGCTAAGTGAGAGATCAGAAAAGTTCTAATTAAGTTCACAAACATTATACAGCAACTAGTAAATAAGATCTGAAACTTGTCTGATATTGAAAATCACTTGGAGCATTTGAAAAGTAGAGACAAATGGAAAAGTTACATTTTATAAAGATAGATGTCTTTTATTATTCAAAAACAAGGCAGACCAGTCACTGTGAGCATCCTTCAGTATTTATAAACTCCAGTTTTCCGGCAAATACTGTGAGGAAAAGGAAATATATAAATTAAACCAAAGGGATGCTTTTCCTTTTACTGTTGAAATTAAGAACTACTTTTTATTTAGCTGTTTCACATTGAACTCTATTTTTCCCTACTCTTAGATTGAGGGAGTGTTTTCTACTAAAAGGTAATTTTAGACCATTGAACTCTTATGAATATAATTTCCAAAGGCAAGCTTGAAATTGTGAGCTTTCAAGTAAACCCTTCAGAAATCTTTAATAATTAAGGATAAGCACAACTCACGTTCCTTCTGCCATCCACATAGGGTGACATTTAAATGAGTATTTGCTGTCATATTATCATTCTCCTCTGTTTCTTAATAGCCTCTCATCTTTATTATGGATGCATTATTCACTTTATCATTATCATTCACTCACATTCACATTCACATTCACTCACACACTCAGTCAGTTGTTTACTGAGCAGCCAGAGAGCTCGGGGAGGGGTTACCAGGTGATGGAGCCCCAAGTCGACCTCATTGCTTTGCGTCTGCTGGCTCCTTCTCTGCAGCAGCAGTTGCTCCCTTACTGCCCAGCACCAGCCCTCACCCTCATTCTGGCGCTTAGTGTCATTTGTTTGACTGTCACGTTAGCTTCTTGTTTGAATTTTCTGCTACTATTTTGTTTATTTTTTGCCCCAATCAGCCCTTCCTATATGCACAGTCCAAGGACTGTTGTGAAAAACAGCTCTTGTCAGAATCTTTGGTAAATTTCCGTTACCTTTGGAATGAAGTCAGGACTTCGGGTGTGATGTCCCTGACCTGGTCCCAGTCTGCATGTTCGCCCGTATCTCCCACTTCCCCCCTTCCGCACCGTGTCCCACTTTTCAGTGAGATCAGGACAACTCGGCATTGTCCTGACCTGCCCTGTGCTGTCCCGCCTGGGTGCTTGTTCCGTTTCGTTTGTCTGAGGTGGCCCCTCCCCCGCCCCTCCCCCTGCCCATCAAAGTATTGTCTGTCTCTTCCTCCCTGAGGCTGTATTAGTTCACCCCTCCTCTGTGCTCTTACTTACAGCACTTCTCTTCTCATGTCAAAATACCGAATTGATTTGTGAGCATGCTTTATTTCAATCTTTATTGGTACCTTCAGGACATGGTTGTTATCTTCATTTTTACATCTCCTCACCATCGTGAAAAGTTGGTGCTTCACGGTGTTTATGGAATTCAATTGCAGAGAAAAAGTTGGCAGTTGCTAGGGATTATCTCTGCACTCTGACTCTGTGTTCATGAACTTGACTGATGTTTTCATTATGCCTTCTTTAAACATGGCCCACTCCATTTCCTTTGCGTGAGAACCCATGTGAGAAACCCTTTTTTGATAGTACTGGAAGAAATTATCTTTTGAGGATGCAGTAATAAAAGACATGGGACCCATCCTTTCTTCTTCTTCTTTGGTTTTTGAGTAGCTCAATAGCTCTGATTGCTTTTTAAAAAAACATTTGTTTATCTTTCCATCTCTATTGTTTTTTTTAAACTAGTTTCTCTTTTTATATTCTTGTCCTATGTGTCTTTTTGTTGTAATTTCTTTTAAATCATTTTGGGAAAGAGACAAGTTACTAGATAAAAATATACATTCACTCATGGAGTATGAGGTGTTCATGAAAATCAGTGATGAGCTTCAGCCATGTGATTTAGACTTGCATGTTTAATTGAAGTTGTTACATAAATATGTTGTTATAGAAACAATATATTTATAGGACTTTTAGAGTTCTTTGATAAAGTTTTATAAATATTCCTTGTAAAAGTCGTGATACCTTTGAAGAGGTGGGGACTTCTGCCATATCACACATCCTCTCATTTTAGGACAGTTTTTTTGGGGTCACTTTTACCCCCTGTGATCCTATATCTCCTAACAGCTGTTGGGAGACAGCCACACCAGCGCTTGAGGCTTAGGTTAGGAAAGAAGATCAAAGCTATGTTTTCAAGCCTTTAAATGAAAGTAGCACAGTGGAACATACTGTGTATTGTCCTGACTTTATTTCAAAAAATAAAAGCAATATTAGCCTGGCTGGTGTGGCTCAGTGGATTGAGCTCGGGCTGCACACTGAAGGAGCACCAGTTCCATTCCCAGTCAGGGCACATGCTTGGGTTGCAGGCCAGATCTGGAGTGGGGGATGTGTGAGAGGCAACCCACACACTGATGTTTCTCCCCCTGTCTCCTTCCCTTCTCCTCTCTCTAAAAAAATAAATAAATAAAATCTTTTTTAAAAAAGCAATATTAAAGCATCTTAGACACTGGGGATGATTAGTTCTTAGAAAGCCTAACAGACCAGTTAAGGACAGAGTGAAGTGTGCTGTAGTGATTGATGTAGGGGTAACGGAGTGTTCCCTGGGCAGAAGAGCTGGGTGGGGACGCCAGGACGGTTATGGTTAGGCAAGGAACAAGCCTCTCTTTTGTAGATGAGGGCAATCAGTATCCAATACCAAAGAAAGGAAAAGAAAATGTTTCTAGAATAATGAAATGGTGTAGCTCTCTACTCAAGTGACAGACACTACTCACACTGAAATTGTGTAAGAATGGCTTTAAAAATGAGATTTTGTCTCAGAGTAAAAGGTGTTTTCCAAGAAAAGCCATCCTTTAGCTCTTCCAGGAAAACAGAGACTCTGAGCATTTATTAAGGTCACTTGCCATGTGCCCTGCTGATCGTAAACCACGCGACCTGGCTCCCCGGCAGCTTTTAGTCCTGCTGTCACTAGACTGCCAACCGGCTCTTCACACGGCATTGGGGGTGAGACAGTGAGTATGGGAAATGGGCAACTTTCTGCTAAATCATGTAAACTACATGTTAATAGGTGTGTAGGAGTTTACCTCCCGTATTACGTGCTTACTCGTATAGATATAATTTGTCTGTATTCATATTCTTAGGGTATGAATAAATGCTATATAGTATTTCTTTTTAAGATGAATGCCTAATTTTTTAAATGGCTATTCTTAGGTTAGGAATGTATCGTGAAGCAGAAAAACAGTTTAAATCAGCCCTGAAACAGCAGGAAATGATAGATACGTTTCTCTACTTGGCAAAAGTAAGTATTCTTAGTCTGAGTGAAACCTGTCTTCTCAGAATAACTGTTTAAATGCATGGGGAGCATTGCCATTTTCTTCAGGAATATTTTGGGAGGTTAATGTGTTCAGACTTTATTTTAGCAAAGGAAAATGTGAGACTATGAGAAGAGTAACTGAGGAGAAATTGATTGCCATGAAAAATAAGAAAACCCCTTTGAAAGATTAAGCATTGGAACGGAAGGAAATACCACGGGCTTCGTATCCCCATGAGTAACAGGCCCCACAGAGACTGCTGGGTGGAGACGGGTGTTTCATCCAATACAGTCTTCCTCCTGCACAGACTGCACAGGACAGGACTGTTCTCATGCAGGTCCTTTATTTCTGGGCTCTGCCAAAATAAAAACAGTACTTCCTCTTTGTGGCCACCTGCTCAGTATAAAGTGTGGTAATCAGGTCTGTTCCATATGCAGTTTAACCCTATAGCACAGGTGGCAAACACAAGGCTCACGGGCTGAATCCGGCCCTCCCCCTTGTTTTTTATCCTGCTCTTGTTTCTACCCGGCGGCCGCGCCAAGCTCTCACTTAACTGTTAAGCAGTAGTTACTTTCATATAGTCCTAAAGTTACATCCGGCCTTTGAAGGCAACTGCGAGGCTGATGTGGCCCCCAGTGAAAATGAGTTTGACACCCCTGCCCTCTGGCACCCCACAAGGTAGGGTTCAATGTTTCCTTGTACTCTTAGGGAAAAGGTAAGGAGGGTAAGTAACATTTCAGCGTCACCTGGCCCTTAGCAGCCAGCATTCAGCCCCAGGACGTGGTGATTCTGGAGCCTACTCACTGCCCCTTAGGGCCCCCCACAGCCACTACCTAGGATTCTCAGCATCAGGACAAAGTTGCTTCTTGACCCTCACCAAGACTACTTTGAAAGAAATATGCGATGAAGTGGTGGTTATGACATCATCTGCTGTATCTCTACGAATTTTTTCAATTAAAATGTAAAGCTGTTGAGAAGAAGATGGGATATAAAAGGAAGTGCTACTTCTTCCTAAAAGGGTATTAAAAATCGGCAGGCTAGAAGGGAACAAAATGAAAGCTGTGCTACAAAATTTAGTGTGCTAATCTTCGTGTGTGTACAGTGGTTTTCAGAATGTTTGAAATGATCTGGTGTCTAAGTCTGCTATACATTATATATTAAACTTAAATTCTTAAAAAGGTTTGTAAGACTCACAGTCGTCTCATAATTTTCTGACATCTTGAAATTAAAATTCAGGTCACAGTATTTGATAATCTCTTGACACGTGGTTTAAAAATGTACTCTTACTTAGTTTTAAGTATTGCTAAATACATGTTTTAACCTGTTTTTTCATAAACTAATTTGTTTAAATCCACTACAGAGTGTATAGAGGTGAAGTTCACTTATTTTCTTTAATATATGAAGGAATGATTGTTGCATAATAGAGGTCAGCAGATTTTAGGGACAGCACTATTTCTTAAAGTTTTGGATGGTTAATTTAAAAATAATTATTAAATACTTTATATTACTTAGCATATTAACTTATATTTATTGTATTTTTAAAAGCAGTTTAGAAACATAAAAGGTAAAAGTTGAAAGATTTTTACTCATATGTATCCCTCTGAACTCCTACTTTGGCAGTAAACACTGTAAACAGTTTTCTGGGTATCTGGTTGCACATTCTTCAAAGCACAGACTAGCTGTAGGGGAAGAAGCAGAGGATCTGTGATCATGAAGGAAAAGGGTCATAAATCTTACGTTTCTCTACATAACATAACTCTCTGTTTCAGAGATGCCCCTCGAGTGTGTGGGTCATTCATGCGCACGTGCTGGTTGCTCATGAAGTGCACGGGAGCGCCGAGTGCTAACCGTCTCACACCCGGACCCTCGCCCCACAAGCCTGGTTCCCCTCTACTTCCAAGGGCCTTTTCCGGAACCACGCTCTCCATGAGCCCTCCCCTGCTGCTCTCTCTCACGTCACACCTTTCTCCCGTATCTTCATCTTCAGTCTTCTCATCGATTTTTTGTGCCAACCTGTAGACACACTCATGCCTGTTCTCTCCTAAAAATGTTTTCCCTTAGTCCTTGTCTCGTTACTGCTCAGGCTCTGTGAGAACAGTAAACCCACAACAAGCATTTGTTGAAGGAATAAGTGAATGAAAGCTTCAGTGAAAGCGTTATTTCCACAACAGGTGGAAATAAAACTATAACATCATTGTTAGAGATTAATGCTACACAATGTTTTACTGTAATACCTAGGAGATAATTTGTTACTGAGCAATTATTATATACTCGTCATAACAAATACCGTATTATTTTAAGAACCAATACTTTCACTGAAACACGTCTTGGTTTTAGGTTTACATCTCATTGGATCAGCCTGTGACTGCTTTAAACCTTTTCAAACAAGGATTAGATAAGTTCCCAGGAGAAGTAACCCTCCTTTGTGGAATTGCCAGGATCCATGAGGTGAGGTTCAAGGTATTTAAAAAGTTGGTGTAACACTGAGGTTATGTGTTTCTTAAGGCAGTCCATAGTCTTGTGGGGTGCCAGCAAGGAGAGCGATTTATAAAACTATGAGGGTTGGCCTCTAGTTTACCGATGGAGGAAGAGATTTTAGTGTCAAGCCGACGTTTTATTATGAAGATTGTTTCCCCTTTTGGAATATAATTATGATAAACAGGTAAGTAGAAGACTTCGATCATTCAATAAAAATACTACGTCAGTTCCTCTGTATCTTTGAGTGACTCCAGGTTGAACACGAACAGAATTTTGACCAAGAAGCTTAGAAAGGAAGGATAATAAAATGGATCACGAGAGCAGTGGCAGCGATGCAGTTCCTGTCATCCCGAGGCGGTCAGAGCTCTCGGGCCCCCTGCTCTGCCTCCTGCGCACTGCGGTCCCTCTGCTGGTCCTTCTCAGGCCGGAAGTGCAGGCAGGGAGACCCTGGAGAACACCGACACCTTTAACACGTGGTTGCCGGTCGCTGTTCCTCCCCAGCCTCTGTTGTGGTCACTGTGGCTGGGACGGGCGAGGCCCCGGACAGATCCTGTGATCCGCCACCTTCTCCGTTCCCTGCTCTGTTCTGGCCGGGAGTTGGAGGAACTTACCTTTTTCTAAGTGTGCGGGGGAGGGCTTTGTGGGAAAAGTCAAATTGCACTGTGCACTCAACAGGAAGAAAGAAGTAGAGAGGGAAGCATCCTGCCTGTGGGGACAATGTCATGTTCAAGTGGGGTGATCAGGACTAAGCGCAGACTTGAAATAGTGGGACCCTTGAGTTTACAGGTAACTTCCCTCGGGGCAGAGTTGACCAGCGAAGGTTCTTGGTGTTTTTTTTTTCTCTCTGTGTGACGGTGGCTTGAGAGTTCACTAGTGAAGTTTGTTCTGACTGCATGCGCCGCTAGAGATTTTTTTCTATGCACATAATACTTTTCTCTTTTCCTTTATGTTATTTTCTTTTTATTTGTCACTTTCCTGTTGGCCTTGTATCCTTTAAGTCTTTCCTATTTAAAAATTAACGTGTCATGCTGCCTATTATTGCTCATTGCTTGTTTTGTACAGAAACATGTTTAAAATAATTTACCCTTGCTGAATTTATTTAGTTGTGGTTTGAATTTTTGTGAGGCATTTTGTTTATTCGTTCACAATGCAGGTCTTTATTTGAATTGTTCTTTGTTAAAAAGTGCTTGAAATTAGAAGCATCACCGTAGGAAATATTACACTTGTGGTCTGTGAACTTTACTGGGTATGAACATGACTGTGGGGATGTCTGAGAGGTGCGGCCCCTTCTCTCCCCACGAAAGCAGGTGGGATGCAGGCATTTGTTTCACAAGCTTCCCAGGGGCTTCTGTGTTTTGAAGAAAATATTGGTTACCTCTTCTCTTAAGGAGTTAAATCCTGGCAGGATTTTTAGCGAGAACATCCAATGTAAAGCATGAGTTTGGATCAACCTATGAATGTTTTATTGGGGTTTTATGGGACTAATAAGTAACACCCTGGGTCCTCACTCCAATTTGAGAGGTCAATACAATATGTAGACAAAGGGATGAACTATTAGCTTTGTTACTGATAAAGGCAGAACTGGAGCAGGCGGCTTTAGATCTGTGACCCAAATAACTTAACAGTGTCCTACCTCTGAGTTAAATGGACTAAGCCACCGCGTCTGACCTGCCTGTCCACCCAGCACACCCTCTGCACCTGGGAGAGCGTGTGCCACATGGCAGGGCAGAGAACGTGGGTGTCGTGCAGGCCGGCCAGCCGGTGTCCAGAGAGACCCAAGGGGGCTGAGACATGCCTGCTCTGTGTGCCCCATGAGGATGAGTGAGGGGGAGTGGGGAGAAGGGCCCCCAATATTGTTCTAATATCAGCATTTCTCAAAGTGTCAACCAGAGGTTCCTGGGGGTCCTGAGACCCCTTTCAAGGAGTCCACAAAGTCAAAACTCTATTCATAATACTAACATTGATGAGATTGGTAGTAATGTTAGTGGATGTAATTTTTGATATTGGACAATGAAATGCACTTAATCTTCATAATGACCCCTCACTTCTACTACAAACATAACACTGCTCTAAAAAAGTTAAGTCCTTAAGTAAAAAACAAAAGGGAAAACCCTCCCAAACTGAAATCTATGGGGGTTAAAAAAAATTCCATGTGATAAAAAAAATCATTGTGTGGTGCTTCTTACAACCATTGGAGTCTTGGATTTATTAAAATATGTTACAATTAAAATCAAACAAAAGATATGTGTCCTCTGGTAAGAACAAGCGAGTGGTTCACCTAGTAGGTGCTACGTCAGCCACGAGGCAGAAGGAACTGTGTGAAATGAGGGCGTTCGGACGGTGCCACGAGGGGTGTGGAGCCTGACCTGGCCTTGGAGGTGGATTTGAGAGCCGTGACTATTACCAACAACATGAAACGCACTTACTCACGATTGTCGGGGAGATGCCCCTTATCCTTGCTACCATTCTTCCCCACTTTAGGGTATCCTGTGTGTAGCCAGCAAGTTCCTCTTTAAAAATAGAAAGACAGTCATGCTACTCTTCTGCTCTGAACTCTAACGGCTTTTCCTCAATTTAGAAAAAAGCCTGAGGTTTCCACCAGGGCCACCAAAGCCCCTGGCCGCCTCTCTGATCTCCTTCTGCGCCACTTTCTCTCTGCAGCCTCCCCTGCTTCTGTGCGGTTCTTACCCGTGGCAAGTGTTCCCACCTGAGGCTCTCACAGTGGCTGTTCCCGCTGCCCAGGTGTTGCTTCTCCAGCCGCGCACAGGTCTTAGTCCCTCCCCGCCTCCAGGCCTGCTCACCTGGCACCTGCTCTGGAGCCCCTTCTGGGGCAGCACCGCCCTGTCTCCTTACCGGGCTCTGTTTGTCTCTGCCCCGCTCCCTTTTCCTTGGCATGTCACGTCTGTTCCTTGGTGTGTCTTCCCTACCAGATGTAGCCACTTGAGAATAGTCACTTTATCTTTTTCTGTCTACATTGTGTCCCCAGGGCCTAGAACAGAGTCTGGCACAAGGTAGGCTCTTAGCGAATATTTATTGAGTGAAAGAATGTAAGTCCGTCGGAATGAAAATAGCATCTTGGCAACATTAATAAAGCATCGCTGTCCTGTCTTGGTGGAAACTAGGAGATGAACGACATGTCCTCTGCTGCCGAATTCTATAAAGAGGTTTTGAAACAGGACAACACTCACGTGGAAGCCATCGCCTGCATTGGGAGCAACCACTTCTACTCCGATCAGCCGGAAATCGCGCTCCGCTTTTACAGGTGCACTTTACCTTTATTTTGTAAAACTACTTTCCTGTGCGGTGTTGGTGAAACAGTAATAAAGATGGAATGAAAATGTAGAGAAATAATATATAGGCCGTGTCTGTGTGATACTAAAAACTCAGACACCCAGATGTGTTGTGAGCACTGAAAGTGACATCTAATAATTTGGAAACCCATAGGTACTTGGTATCTTGTGGAAACACACCTGGGTAGTCGCCTGAGTTTTTAGCACTGCGGCAGCATATGAATTAGCCATTTTCTCAGTGACCGGGAACAGCTGAGTAGTGACTGGCAGCCTCTCTCTCCCCGTCGCTGCCTTCACTAGCTCCGCTGTGCACGGCACACAGACCTGGAAGCTGCAGTGGTGATGAGCTTTGCAGAGGCGCAGGCCCCAGGTTCTGGGCCCCGATAAGGACCAGAAACAGGGTCCCGGGTATTGTGAAGTATTGTCAACTTTTGTCCAAATAATTCTGTCTCCACAAATGCTGTTCTCTGGTTCTCTTTCGAACACATACTCATCTTATCCTACAGCTGGTTTCTGGGTTCATTTTTACATTTTGATTTCCTCTTTGGCCCTTATGTAATATACAAGGAGGTAACTGGCAGCCGACAAGAGTTCTCCTCAAATACATATTGAAATATAAAACAGGATAATATAAGGCTTTCTTGTCACATGCAGCTGGTTCAAGTCCCCTGCCCTAACGTGGGTCATGGGTTCCTCAGGGCAGTGGGGGTAGATTTCATTTGCTTACTTGAACTCGCTTATCCTTTGTCCTTTGGGATTAATGATGCACAGAAGCCGACTGGGCTTCTTGAGCTGTGGGTGCTATAGGGCTCCCCTGGCGCTCTCGTCTTCCTCGGTGGGAGCTGTTGGAGGTCAGGAGATGCAGCTAAACCACAAAATGCTTATGACCAAACCAAGGTCCAGCACAGCTGAACACCCGGAGCTGAATGCCGGACGCCGTCCCCATAGCAGACCAGAGGGTCTGAGGGGGTTACCTACGGGCAGCAGAGCGCTGTGAACCAAAAACGTGTGGGTTCTACTTTACACGACTATTTTTTCCTTATTTTGGTTCTCTAACAGAGTTTTTTTGGGGAAAAAAACGTGCATAAGTTGTTTTTGACCTTGCCTTTGGACACATTTCCCATAACTAGTGTTGTCAAAGAAGACCTACTTCTGTGTTTGCTTTAACATGTTTGTCATTGACTACAATACTTTCTATTTCTGTTTGGGCGTGTTAAAATTATACAATCCATCCATTTCTAAATTTGTGAAAATACATGTGTCTGACTATTTATAGAGTCGGTCTGACACCACAAATCTGTGTGCTCCTTTCAAGGCGACTCCTGCAGATGGGGGTTTATAACTGCCAGCTTTTTAACAATCTGGGTCTCTGCTGCTTCTACGCCCAGCAGTACGACCTGACTCTGGCCTCGTTTGAGCGCGCCCTTTCTCTGGCCGAAAACGAAGAAGAGGCGGCCGACGTCTGGTACAACTTGGGGCACGTGGCTGTGGTACGTCGTCCCTCTAACCCACTGTCTGTCAGGGAGAAGGTAGCGCAGGCTAGTCCGAGGCCGCGTTCCGGTCTTGTGAGCTCAGGTTTGGTAGCAGTCGTACGCAGCAATTCGGAGGTTTCTGAGAGCCACCGTTACTCATTTTATCTTCCCAGTTAAATCCTCCTGCACAATTCACACGGGACTCCTCTGATTGGTCCTTGCTGCTTTTCCTGTGGGAGCAGGAGAGATTTATACGAAGAAAGGTGGGAGGGGACGGCAGGGGGAAGCGCGTGGGTCTGTGTGTGCACATGCGTGTTTTTCCTCTGCAGGGGATAGGAGACACGGGTTTGGCCCACCAGTGCTTCCGGCTGGCGCTGGCCCACAACAACAGCCACGCCGAGGCCTACAACAACCTGGCTGTGCTGGAGATGCGGAAGGGCCACGTGGAGCAGGTCAGTGACTGCGAGGGGCCCAGCGGCAGTCAGCTCTCTTCGCAGAAAAGCCGTCACGGGTAGCGCCTCCACGTGCTGTCATTGAACCAGAGCCTGGTCAGCCTGGGTTTGCATCCCAAGACTGTCACAGATTGGTGACGCGACCTTGCACAGGTTCCTGTATCCAAAAGGGAGCACTTGATTTTGTCAGGACAAATCTGCACCTCCCAGTCTTCACTATTTTAGGGAAGTGTTGCTCCGTCATAACCCCCCTACCCCCAACCCCAACCCCACCCACACCATCTAGCTGCTGGAGCCAGAATCCTAGGAGCCACCTGGAAGCCTCTTTTTTCTGACCACCTCTCCCGCCCCCCGCCATGTCCCCAGTGTGGTTGGGAAGCCCTTGTCTACCTTGTCTGGGAGGTCTGCCTCCAAGCCACATTCTGAACCCAGCCACTTTCCTACCCACCACCCCCTTCTCCAAACTGCTCTCACCTCTTGCCTGGACCACTACAGGGTCTCCTAGCTGGTCTTTGTTTCCACTTCAGCCAACAAGTACGTGTGCCCTAGAGCACACCCTTCGCAGAACAACCGCGGGGATTTAAAGACCACAAGATCATTTTGTCACTACTTTGCTTGGCATGCTTCAAAGGCTTTCTCTTTTCACTGGGGTAAATCTGCTCTTCAGACCCTGACCTACAAGGCCCCACCTAACGTGGCCTCCGGCTGCCTCTCAGACTGCACCTTCATCACTACCGCCGTCCCCCTGACTCACGGTTTTGCTTTCCTTGGTTTCAGTACCTGCGCTCAACCATGGTCCCAAAACAGTAAATGGGAAATTCCAGAAATAAACAGCTCATGAGTTTTCACTTGTGTGCCACCCTCCTGCCCAGGACACGAACCATCCCTTTGTCCAGTGCGTCCGTGCTACTCATGAGTCACACGGTAGCTGTCTCTCTCGGTTATCAGACTGGTTACCAGAGGGAGAGAGACCACAGCTGTGTAACTTTTATCACAGTATTGTTGTCCTAATTGTTCTATCTTACTGTTATTGTTGTTTCTGTCTTACTGTGCCTGATGCATAAATTAAACTTTGTCATAGGTACGTATGTGCAATAAGAAACATAGACTGTATATATAGGGTTTGGTACAGTCCATGGGTTCAGGTGTCCACTGGGGGCCCTCGGGCGTGTCCCCGGTGGATGAGGGAGCACTGCTGTGCACCTGTGTGTGACTTCCGGACACGCATGCACACAGCGACCGTCCTTCCTTTAGGGCCTCGGGGACGTTTCTTCAGCTCCTGCAGTGACTTTTCCTGTTGTCACCGAGGCCTAAGCTTAATTACCAGCTCTTCAGAAGGGCCATCCCCACATCAGTGTAAAGGGGCCTCCGGCCTTGTCACACAGCCTGTTCGTTGTTTTCTTCCCAGTGCTTATTATCATTGGGTCATATATTTTCATGTTCATGTGCCAAATGTCAGCTGCGTGAAAGTAGGGACCTTCTCCGCTTCTAACTGCTGTATGTTCAGTGTCAAAAACGGTGCCGGCCAGTGGCAGGTGCTCGGTCTCTGTGTGTGAAATGCACGGGTGATGTGTAATGCAGGGTAGTGGCAGCTCGCGGCGGTGTTTTTGTGACGATTAGCAGATCGCACACACAAAGCCCTCGTCATAGTAGAAGCACAGCGTTGAGCCCGTGGTAGATGCTCAAGAAATTATAGCATTATTATAACAATTTTAAGATGCTGAGTACACAATATTAGTGGTAATCAAGGGGATGTTACTACATTCCAGACTTTAGAGATGAAGAAACAAACTTGAGGCGGGCGAGTGACTCCCCAAGGTCACAGACAGTGAGCAGCACGCCACCTGGTCTCCTAGGCAGAAGGATAAACTTTTAGCTGAACCAGGAAAGAAACATTGTTGGATGTTGCCTTTCTTTCATAAATTCCCCCCCCCCCAAATGAGATGGATTTACATTTTTCAGACAAAAGCTGATACCTCGTTCTGTCTCTAAACTTTTCCAGGTCCATGTGAAGCAAGCGCTTTTTGTGATTTTCTTCCCCGCTGACTTATTGTAGTTCCTTCAGCATCCAGTAGATTTGAAATGTTTTGGTAAAAGGTTTCATGATCCTAACCTCATTTTATTATCAATCAGACCTTAATTAAAAAAAGAAAATAGGTAGTCATAAAACAAAAGAATTAACGTATTCCATGTATATGAACTGGCACTTTATTTTCCATCAAAAATAAAAAGGTACATGAATTTGTCCTCAGGGTCGCCAATGGAGGTTTTGGGTTGGGCTGCAAGGTGGCGGCCTGTTCGACAGCTCGGAACGCCAAGTTCGCGGTCCTCATGCTGAGCATGTGAACACCTCCCGTCCGTCACGGCCATGCAGTGCACCATCCCTCTGAGCCTGCAGGGGATGAAAAAATTGGGGTGGATTCTGTTTTTTTCTGTTCTTTAGAGAACAGAAAGCGTGTCATATTCTGGTGCCCTTAGTTGTCACTTCAGGTCAGCGGTGTAATAAATGCTTGCTCGCTGTCATCCAGCACAGAACGTGGGGTTCTGAAATTTAGAAGCCCACTAAATCGGTCAACAGCAGAAAAACTAGAATAACAAGACTTTAATTTTTTTAGCATTGAGAGGATTATATTTTAAGTTGTACTGAAATATAAAACTACATGAGAACAGTGATTCTCAAATAACCAAATGTACTCTAAGTTTCCAATTCTCTTATTTTATCCATATGTCAAAACATTTTATTGTTAATACCGTTGTGGCAAAGATATAAGCAGTTAGTTGTGCGTCAGTTAGTTGTACTTCATGAGGAATGTCATCTATATCCATTACGGGGTCATGATTCTCAAGGTCCCTTCCTGGGTAAAGGATTCTTATACCAAAAAAACCACAAATATGTGCTGATAATATGCTCACACGCCTTTGGTTTTTCTTTTCTTTTTTTACACAGGCAAAAGCGCTGTTACAAACTGCATCATCTTTGGCGCCCCATATGTACGAGCCGCATTTTAACTTTGCAACAATCTCTGAAAAGGTATTCTCTTTCTTTATCAATTTACCATCTGATCTGTTTCTTTTTTCCACCTCAGTTTTAAAAAAAGTACAGATAAATAAGGACATTCTAACTATAACTTCCTGAAAGAAATGATTTTTTTTAAACACAATTTTTATATAACATGTGTTGTCCCATAAGGGACAGTTTAATAAACTTTAAAGAACTTGATCACTGAATATTGACTAAACATCATTTTGGATGGCAGAAAAATTATTTTATGTTTTAAAATATGACATTTTGTCATTAAAAAGATACTTATTAAAGTAATTTCTGGTTGGGGAAGGATTTAGCAATTTAGCTTTTACAGCAGGAAAGTCCTGTGTATTGTTTGTAGAGCGTATCGCCACCAAGTCTCTGGCACAATTACTGTAAAATTAGGGGCAGTAAAAGCTATTTTAGCTATGAGCACTACATGGAAAATTCAACTGTTGATACTGTTACGACTCAGTTAATATCCAAGAAGGAGTCCTGTGCCGTTTTCAATAACAATGAGAAAACCAAAGACATGTAATAACTAACTTTGGCTTGGAAACCTCTGTTTAATAGGAGGGTGAGTTTTGAGGACAAGGAAATGGCTTACAGCGTTTGCTGATGTGATGACTCTTTTTTCAGTGGACCAAACATTATAAAAACGTCACTTTTCATAGCATGAACATAAAGCCATCCACACTCTCAATTCTGTTTTGAAGATAAGATAACCCGTCACTCACAAGTTGTCATTTTTGAGCACTTGTTAAATGCTAGCCACTATTCCAGGCACACCACACAATGACCTTGCCTTAACTTTCCTTACTCAATGTTTTAATATAAATTGTGTTTTTTAAAAAATTGAGCCTCTGCTATGTACCAGGCAGTGTCGAAGGCACAGCAGACATGAACGAGGAATAAGGCAAAGACCTCCACCCTGTGCAGCTTGTATTCCAATGGGACCCAAGGCCTGGAAAGCTTGAAAGACTTCTCTGTGGTCACAGGTGCAGACTCACGTCCAGTTCCTGGTGACACCCAGGTGCTCTCCACTGTGCCGTGCAGAGAGGGCGTGGTTACGCTCTCCCAGGAACATTGTCAGCTTTAATAATATGTAAATCAAATGAGACAGTGCTCTAAGCAAAAGGCTATACTTCCATGAGAGAAAATAGTATGTTGAAAAGAAATGCTAGGGTTCGACATGGGAACTTATGCTTTTAGTGCATATACATGTTTAAAAAACTTCAAAGTTGAATGTTCTAGATAATTTTGCGTGCACACACTAAAAAGCTCTCTCTCTTTGGAAATGGACACATGAATCGAGATACATTTAGATAGATTCAGATACTGCGTGTGTTTCTCTTTGGGACTGGACTTGAACACATAGTTTATTGAAATCAGAAACCCTCTTTACAGACTTTTAAAACTACCTATTTTTCCAACATTAATGTGCTGTCACTATTTAAAACGCCCCACAGCATGTTGTGTTATCCTAAATACAGGTTTCTGCTTGAATTTTCTGCCTGTAACGTAATGCCCTAATCAAATATGTCCTTGTGGTGCACTACAAATAGTTGTCTAACGCCTTCCCAAACGACACCGAGCTGGCTGTCTCAGCATGCTCAGGTGTTTTATTTTTATAAAACTATCAGTGACAGAAAAGAAAACAGGTTTATAAATTTGTTACTAGACAGCTGTAATGGAGCATAAATTATTTATGTAATTGGTTATTTTATTTTTCTCACAAATTTTCAAGATTGAATTGTTTTGCAAGTGAAAGAATTCGCAAACCCAAGTAGCATAATGAAGCAGTTTACCCTTGCGGACCCTTTGAGTTTGTACCGTATACGGATAGTATGTCTTATTTTGACTTCCTTACTAATTTTGGAGGTTTTATTCTGTTGCCTTATTCTGGTATTTCTTACAGATTGGAGATCTACAGAGAAGCTATGTTGCTGCTCGTAAGTCTGAAGAAGTATTTCCAGATCATGTGGATACACAACATTTAATTGAGCGGTTAAAGCAGCACTTTGCTATGCTCTGATTACTCCTTAGACCAAATATCTATTTTTATGGTGGGGTACTATACAAGAGAGGACCCCTCCCCACCATGAAAGGAATTATATCGTGGAGGGTGGGCCCCTTGTAGTACAGGCTTCCCCCACTGGGTGAATGTTCCAGGAACCCGCCTGTATCACTGTGCCAGCTGGTGGTGTTGTGAGAGGCTGCCTGAGCTTCAGTGAATTTTTTCGAAGACTATTTCAGTGTACTTGCCCATTTCATCACGGGGATTTCCAAGCTTATCTGCCTACACTGTGCTGAGTATTCAGCGGTTTTTGACCAAAAACGGCACGACCCTGGTGTTCCATCCTTCCCATTCACCTGATCCCACCCCGAGTGACTTTTTTTTGGTCTCCCTGGATGAAAGTAGTCCTCAGAGGGAAGCATTTTGCCGAGGGGGAAGAGGTGAAACATCCTGCAGAAGCACTGGAAGGCATCAAAACCGACCAGCTCACGCACTGAGCGGGGAAAAAACGCCTCGACAGGTGGTACTGCATCAAATGGAGAGCACTTTGAAGGGGACTGAGTTTAAACACGGAGGAATAAATACACAATTTTTAATAAATTTCTGTTTTGGGGGGTCCCTCCTTGTATAATCATATAAGGGAAAAATTGCGTAAATATATATCTGTGTAATACAAACTTGTGCTTTATATTAGTGAAGATGACATGAGGGACTTTAAATAAGGGTGTAAATTAAAACTTTTTTTTAAAGGAGATTTTTAAAAAATATATTTATTTATTTTTAGAGAGAGAGGACAGGAAGGAGATAGAGAGGGAAAGAAACATCAATGTGTGGTTGCCTCTCATGTGTCCCCCACTGGGGACCTGGCCTGCAACCCAGGCATGTGCCCTGACTGGGAATCGAACCCACGACCCTTTGCTTCACAGGCCCACACTCAATCCACTGAGCTACACCAGCCAGGGCTAAAACTTTTATAATACCTTTATAATATTATGAAAGACGGGATTTCAGCATTTGTAAGTAGATCATGGTGGCTCTTCCCACATTACATGGTAGATGTTTGTTTTTTAATGTTTATAAAACATTTTCATGAATTTCCTCACATTTTTGTACATACACATTTTTAATGTTCTTAAGCTTGCCCTTAACTATCATGTACCTTAAGAGGCCTGAAATTTGCCTTTTAAATTGCACTTTTATGACTTAACCTGTGTATATTTATCCTAAGTAGAGACTTATTTAAAGCTTAAAAACTGTGTTTAAACTCTTTATCAAATGCTTTGAGAGAGACTCTACATTTTCTCATGTATTACACTTTAAAATAAATCAGTGTGTAAAACACCATCACTGTGATTTTCCATGAGTTTTTGTCTCAGGTATATCAGATAAAACAAATCTTTCAGAAGTCCAGTAACCTTAAAAATCAGGTCATTGTTTTAATTTTATTTGGAGTGATGCCCCACCAAGTTGGTTTTTCCCAGAGCAGCTGTTGATGGGCTCTCACCCTGTTAATGTAAGAGTATCAGGGCAAGAAGCGGAGTCACAGGCCCGCAGCTCCACCTGCGCTCAGCCGCGAGCAGGGCAGGCGGGCGAGGTCCCGTCTGAGCACTGCAGATCCTGGCGAGGCTCCGAACCGTCTCTCCCACGTTGAGGAGCTCTCCTTAGAGTTCCTACAAGGACCTGTGTCAACGGGACAGGACCACTCAAGTTTGGATTTGGGGATCTGTCCATGGTATTTTTCATTCTTTAACTTCATGAACACTATTTTACAGATGCTTACTTGTTTCTGTTCAAATTTGTATTGTGCTACTATACAAATAGTGCTTCTCAGCTCACAGAACAAAACAGTGTGAACTCGAGGCATTACAGCTCGCTACGGGCTGGAAGTAACCTCCGAGAGAATGTAGAGAATCTCTTGGTGGGGCAGGTGAAGGTGTGCCTGGAACCCGCGATCTTGACCCTGAGCTTTAGGCTTTAACCTTTCCTGCTCCTGCAAGGTTTGTGAGTGTTTGTGTAGCACCATCCAGCTCCTAAAAACTGGTTAATGTTTAGATTGACATTTTATAATGCGAGTCACTTTCTTACTTAATATCAAATTGGAGCCAGTAACAGTGGCACGTCCTGAGGATGTTGCGTGTTCCCAGCACCGTTCTAAGCACTCGATGTGGATTGATTCATCCGATTCCCACTGCTGAACTGTGAGGTGCCGTGGTTCCCATTTTATGAGAAAAACAAGGCACAGAGAAGTAATTTGCCCAAGGTTATAAAGTTCCCGAACGACAGAGCTGAGATTTAAACACAGGCCATGTGCCCTCCCACCCATGTGCCCTTAACCACTGTGTTGAGTCACCTCTCAGTGTTTCTCCTGTACGTGAAGCTACTATCATTTAAAGTGAATGTTATATGCATCAGTTATATGAATAATAAGGGACTATTCATACCACAAAAAAACAAATGAGTCAGTATTTCTAAGGCGAGACAAGGGTATTTCTGCCTTGAACTTATGTTAATTCAGTGTGAACGCCAATGCAAAGAATGAGTCAGGATGGCCAAGGGCAGAAGGATGAGGTAGCACTGCAGCAGGAACTATGCACGTCTTTGCAACAGAATTATTTCTGGACTGCATCAACTTCTGGCTTCTGTGCCAGCATTTCTATAAAAGGGAGGTTAACAATTGTCTTTTACCATGGCTGAAAAGGTATTTCATCCATATACAAATCGTTCAGCCAAAACTAACATCATTGAGCTTCCAGCGGATGGAAATGAGGTATGGCAGGAAGGCTGCCTGCACTGAGTAACCGCTGAGGTCGGCGGTTCTTCCCTCCTGGCTCCGTCACCGCCGGGCCGTCCACCGCAGCACGACCGGTCCGTCACATCGCTCAGTGAGGGTTCCCAGGAGCAGGGCACTGTTCAGCATATCACCTGTGGCCCAGAGTTTGGAAAATTAATCAAGATAACACGTCACTACCCTTTTAACGTCGTTTCCCCCACCAACTATTAACATGGGGGCTTTCCGTTGGGACCGAGTGTAAGCGTTCAGAAATAAAAATACCCAAAAGATTTTAGAAGTACTCCGGCAGGACTCAACCTTGGCATATGAGGAGCCCAGAAAATTGAGTTTAGGCAAAAGGCCATAACTTTATAGTTTTAAACTCTGGGGAAAAGGTAAATTGGAATGGTTCATGGATAGGTTCCAGAGTTCTGAAATAGTTATCTGGGCTCAGATATTAGGGGGGAAGTTTTTATTTAGTAATGTGAAAATAACTGCAGTTTTACATTCTCCCATGTAGATGGCATTAGTTCTATTTTTGGCTGACTAAAAACATTTTTGAGATGCCGTCATTTTACATCCTTGATGTTAAAGCCAAATTTTTGAGATTAAAGAATAAAGATTAATTTATAATCGTTGGAGAGTATATTATTTTTTACAATTTTTTCCTTTCCCCGAATCCTGACTAATAAAGAGTAGTTGGTTGGTTAAATGTAAACGATGGAAACTCCTGGAGAAATCTGCCACATTACCTTAGGAAAGAGGCCAGGCTGGACAGATTTTAGGAAGACATCCTTTTTCTACTTAAGTCAGAGAAAAGATAGACCTGCATCCAGTGTTTGAAACTCAAGTTTCAATGGGCTTCAGAATTTAACAACCATCTGTGCCTCCTGCCCCACACCTGCTCTGATCTAATAGCTTTGATTTCTTTTTCTATATTAGATTTTCTCTCTCTCTCTCTCTCTCTCTCTCTCTCTCTCTCTCACACACACACACACACACACACACACACACACACACACACACACACAATCTTTTTAAACCTTTCTAGTACCTCCCTCTGTGCCACATCATTTTGAAAGGTCAGGTGCCATTGGTTGCCTACTTCCTCATCTCCCATTTGTTCCTCTGCCTCGTGAATCAGGCTTTAGCTCCTACCCCCATGGAAACTGCTCTCATTGAGGTCACTGATACCTCCCAGTTAGCCAATCCAGAAGTTCCTTTTTTAAAACATATCTTTTAAAATGTATTATTCATATACCATACCAGTCTCTCCAAGACCATTCAGTGGTTGTCATGTGTTTTTTTATAACATTCACCATTGGTCAATCATCACCATAATTAATTTAAAAACATTTTCACCATCCCCCAAAGAAACCATGTACCCATGAGCAAATTCTATCATATCTGTAGGTCTATTCGGGGAATATTGCCATCCTAATATTAAGTCTGTTCATGAACATGGGATGCCTCAGTGGTTCATCTTTAGCCCTCATCTCACTTGACCTTTCTTGGCATTTGCATGGACCGGTCTCCTGAAGTTCTCTTGTGACTTCTCGTTGGGTTCAGCTCACACTTCTCAGAGCATCCCTCAATCTCATGAAAGACTCCGATCGCCCAATAGTTTAAATCCTTTTCTTTGTCTTGTCCTCTTAAATCTTGTTGTTAGTCAAGGTTCCATTTTTCACCCTTTTCAATTCTCACTCTTTTTCTCATTCCTCAGTATGCTCATTCTCCCAACCACCATACCCGGGCTCATGGTCCCCACTCAGTGTTTAGGCCCCATCTTCTCTCCTGACTGCAGATCCTCATTTGCAAACCTCAGTTGGCATCTTCACTTGGATATCTCAGAGCCATCTCAAATTCAAAGAAAAGTATTCATCATTAGCCTCTCCAAATCTGATTCTTACTAGAATCACTGCATACACTAGTTAAATGGATGGTGGACCCAAATATGTAACCTATAAGCATAAAACTTTTTAGAAGAAAATATAAGAGAAATTCTTTGTGAATTTTGGTTATAAAATTGTTTTTTAGTTGTAGCACCGAAAGCATATTCCAAAAAAGGGCAAAATTGATAAATTGGACTTCATCAAAATTAAAAACTTTAACAATCTAAAAGATAATGTTAGAATTGAAAGGCAAGACACAGGCTGGGAGAAAATATTTGCAAATCTTACATCTGATAAAGAATTTGCATTCAAAATACATAGAGAACCCTCAAAATTCAATAAGAAAAACACTAAAAATGGGCAAATAATTTGAACATATACTTCACTAAAGAAGCTATACAGAGATGGCAAATAGTACATGAAAAGATTCTCAACAAATTAGTCATTAAGGAAATGCAAATTAAAGTCAAGTTAGAATGGCTAAATGTAAAAAGACAGTGTCATGTGTTGGTTAGCACGTGGCACAAGTAGCACCGTGTATCAAATGCTGGTGGTGAGACTGTGAATTGATCCAACCACATTGGAAAACTGTGAGGCAGTTTCTTAAGTTAAATGTTACACCTCCCACATGGTCCAGCCATTCTCATTCCTGGGTATTAGCCCAAGAGCAATGAAAGCACACATTGAAGGACCTGAATGTTTCTAGCAACCCATTTGTAATAGCTCTAAACTGGAAACAATCCAACGTCCATCAAGAGGTGAATGAAGAAGCAAGCTGCAGTGTATCCATACAGAGAATGCTATTAAACAACAGAATGGGATGAACTATTGATGTATGCATGACGTGGGTGAAAATCAAAATAACTGTGCTGCGTTAAAGTGGCCAAACGTGAAGAAATACATGCTGTATTATCCCGTTTATATAAAGTTCTTGGAAATGCAAGCTCTTCTGTATTGACAGAAAGCAGATCGGTGGTTGCCTGGGAGCAGGAGATGGGCGGGGGGCGGGGGGATGCAGAAGGAAGGAATGCAGGGAGGAGTTGCCGGGAAGGATCCCAAAGGAGCGTGAGGCAATGCCAAGGTGATGGATAT